CCCATACCGAGCCGCTAGGCCATGGTGTTTCGCCCCAGCATCCCGAAGCAAGTGTTGCACTCAAGACTTGGGATTTAGAGGGTCCCATGATCAAGTCTTGTGGTACCAAGGGATGTTAGGAACCTGGAAGCTTGGTGTGCTTGGCTGCTTGTGCTTGCGGGGAGTGTAGCCGAACCTTAAGTCCAGTCTAACCCGGGGAGGGGGATTGGGAGTGATTTGGGAATCCGTGGAAGGATGGCTAACACCCCGTTGCTCGTGCAGTGAGTAGCTGAAACCAAGTAGGAGCTGGTACCATAGGCGAGAACCTTGGCGAGGGGACTTAGCAAAAGCCAAGGCAGTGTTGGACGGATAGACGAGGTAAGCTGGCAAATTGGAAAGGAAAAATTTGTGGCTTACACCGTACTGCAGTCTCACAGTGAATACCTTTATCCATTGATACTCCACACAATTGCTTCATCCACTCATACCTTCATCCGTGGATACTCCACATAGTTGCTTCATCCACTAGTACTACAGTCCCATAGTGGATACCTTCATCCGTGGATACTCCACACAGTTGCCTCATCCACCCATACTGCAATCCCACAGTGGATACCTTCATGTGTGGAGTATTCCACATAGGCAACTAGTCATCCACCCGTACTGTAGTCCCACAGTGGATACCTTCATGTGTGGAGTATTCCACACAGGCAACTAGTCATCCACCTGTACTGCAGTCCCACAGTGGATACTTTCATGTGTGAAGTATTCCACACAAGCAACTAGTCATCCACCCGTACTGCAGTCCCACAGTGGATACTTTCATGTGTGGAGTATTCCACACAGGAAACTAATCATCCATCCGTACTGCAGTCCCACAATGGATACCTTCATGTGTGGAGTATTCCACACAGGCAACTAGTCATCCACCCATACTACAGTCCCACAGTGTATACCTTCATCCATGGATACTCCACACTGTTGCCTCATCCACCCGTACTACAGTTCTATAGTGGATACTTTCATCCGTGGATACTCCACACAATTGCTTCATCCACCTGTACTGCAGTCCCACAATGGATACCTTCATCTGTGGATACTCCACACAAGAGGAAAGACGTGGGCATCCATGTCATACACATGGATGCATAATACGTACGATTTTAAATTTAGGGGTAAAAATATACCTTGCTCAAGAGTATATTATATTTTAAGTAGCCACTAATTAATGAAAATCGAACCCTTGCCATTTTCTTTGATACGGAAAATATAGCACACTTTATTTCTCTTCCCTTAAACCAACTAAAAAAGGGGTAATTGTTTGATGAGAAAGCCCTTTGATGGCTATTTTATCCAAGGTTTCAAGGATCCACAATAACAGTATATTCAAATCTCATTCCATAATCACATGCACTACACATATCCACATCTTCTTGTAGGTCCACTCCCATAATTTCACAAATTGACTTCCAATTCTCAGCAAAACTCTTCTCCATATTCATGTGGACACTGTAGAGAGGGTTGAGTCTTCCTCCTAACGCTCCATTTGCCTAGTATCCATATCTTTCCACTCATTATATGGATCTGTGTCATCATCATCTTTGGACGGGCATTCATCCAAATACCATAGGCCAGACAGGCCAGAATCCCCACCTCATAAACCAGAACTGTGCATGTTTTTTCCAGGCAAGGAAATTCGTCTTATCGAACTGCTCCATGTCTCTGGAGGAAGAAGATGACGCCATCCTATCCTAGCATCTATGGCACTGATCTGCCAGAAAAACCTAACTTATTGCTCTGATACCATGATGAGAGAAGCCAGGCCTCATGGCCTAGTGTGCTATAAAGAATGAGAACACTCCCAAAACAATCCCCTGGGATGGATCTCACACATGATGGGAAAGAAAACTAAGAAAGCCCTAAACTGAAGGAATGTGACTCAAGCTATAGGTGCTGTATGCCACGTGGCTCTAACAAAATTGTCCCCCCTATATATATACACACGCTCTCATCTAATTGAGCAATTCTTAGTCAACTGATACAAAGTCAAGCAGAATTAATTGGAAACTGATCCCTTGCTTTGGTAGCTTCCTCGAATCTTACGAGCTACCGAAGTGGAAAATCGATCAGCCTTTCTTTGGCGGTGATCTCTTCCATGATGAGTGCGTATGACGCTGAAAATTCTTCATTTTTCGATCTCTCGCACGATCAATCAATCAGCAACTTTGAGCGTCAGCCAACTTGTTTCTGAAGTGTGTTCCAGCTGTTTGCCACACTTGATCAACAAAGTCAAGAAGAATTCATTGGAATGAGAAGTCAACTGATCCAATGCATGATCTAATATAAGTTCTTCAATAAATATGTGTGAAGATCGATTCACCGGGATATGGCGACTGAGGGCTTGGTCGCCGCAGGCGCTACTGCAGCATTGGGAGCTCTTCGAGGAGATCTTCGAGGAACAGCCGACCTTCTGATCAAGCTTGCTTGTGCTGCTTGCAACAGCATAGGCAGATGCCAGGCGATGGCAGACAAGGTGAAGATGGTTAAAACCGCCCTCGAGAGCAGCTCATACAGGTACGACGATGTCAACCTTCAGGTTAATCTAGAAAAGCTGCTAGTTGTGATGAAAGACTGCGTGTGTCTTGTCGAGAAACACAGCAAGACGAGTACGGTGAGCTTCTTCTTCTCGTGCCACGCTCTCACTGTTGACGAATTTGACGACCTCAACGCGCGCCTCAATCGCTGCATCAGCTGCTTGAATCTGATCACATCTCCTCGTATGATCGCAGTCATGAGCACAAAGACGAGATCATAGCCCAAGTACAGGCCAACACAGCACGAACTATTGAGGAGATAAAGCAGCTGGTCAAGGGCCAGGAGCCCGTAGAATATTTGACAGCCGTGCAGGGCGTTGTGACCGTGGGTGAAGCCTTGGCCGGGGACTACATGATATCTGCGACGCTCACCGACAACAGCTCCTCAGTGTCACGGAAAGTCATCCTAGTGCAGTCACACGAGACAAAGAAGGAAGTTGCGATCCTGGAGAAACTAAGCCTTCACGAGTGCATACTTGAGTTGCTTGGCATCTTTCCATATGGTGAGTCCAAGCCTTAGACACCGACCTGCCTTTGATGAAAAGTGTGACATCTACTCACTGGGAGTGGTGATTTGGGAGCACATCACTGGGAACTTTCCTTTCGCCAAATACACTAACTACCGAAAACTTACCAGAGATCGGAGCGAAAATGTTGCCCTCTTAAAAAAGCGAACTTAAGTGACAAACTCAAAAGTTAAAGAGTGAGTTTGGATAATCACGAAGCGTTCCTCACTTCCACTTGCAGTGGAAGTAAAAGAGTAGCAGCAATAAGAATACAAACATCTTGGTTTTATTTTTCTTTCTCTTGGCTTGGATTCGATTCGCTTGAAACGATGGAACTTTAGCTGGCGAGAGCTTCCTTGAGCTCCTTATTCTCTTTCATCTCCATGATAATGTCACAGCCCCCGATAAGCTCGCCTTTGAGGTAGAGCTGAGGATAAGTTGGCCAGTTTGAGAATGCCTTGAGCCCCTCGTCACTGAGAATATCAAAGCTGCCAAATTCGATGCCTTCCTCCTTGAGTGCGCTTGCCACCTTCTTGCTAAACCCGCACTTTGGCTCCTCGGGCGTCCCTTTCATGAAAAGCATTGTCGGGGACGAGTGAATCAGCTTTTTCAGCCGGCTGTTGATGTCTTCCTTTTCCTCTGTCGCCCCCACAGCTTCCTTGAGCTCGCCACTCTTGTGCATTTCCATGACGATGTCGCATCCACCTATCAGCTCGCCCTTGACGTATAGCTGCGGAAACGTTGGCCAGTTGGAGAAGGACTTGATGCCTTGCCGGACCTCTTCGTCGCTCAGAATGTCGAAGGAGCCAAAAGGAACTCCCACCTCCTCGAGTGCTCCCGCAACTTTCTTGCTGAAACCGCACTTTGGCTCCGACGGACTCCCTTTCATGAACAGCATCACGTCGTGCGAGTGGATAAGCTTTTTTAGACGCTCCTCGAGAGTTTCCTCCGGTCCCTTGTCGGATCCATTGGCGTGAGCTTTGCTGCCATTCTCTTGCGACTTTAGCTTGGCGTCCGCAAGAGCTTCTCCCAGCTCCCCACTCTTGTGCATCTCCATTATCACATCACACCCTCACAAACAGCACACAATAGTAAGAAAAAAACGACCAAATGCAGCGATTGAGTGACTTTTCCTTTTCTACCTTTATAAAAACGAAGTAAGGCACCAAAGAAACGCTGTACTTTTCGGATATTTCTGGATGCTCCTCGGCTTCAACCTGTGAGTACAATAATTGGTGGATGTTTATTAGTCAAGTCTAGGCAAATCAGAGAAGAGAAAATCGAGCACACGCCCTGTCAAGCGAGACATGGCATACGGCACTGCAAGATCCAGAAGAGAAGGGGAAAAAAAAATAGCACCACCAACAACCAGACTCACTTAAGAATGAGACTTGCCATTCACAACTCCACAACAAAAATGTGACCGATTTAGAAACGTGGAAGATGAAAGAGAAACAAAAAAAACAAGACAAGCAGCAGCGAATCGAGAAAAAAATAAATAAATAAAAATAAAATGCGATCCGAGAAATCGGTGAAGTATTAACCGGTGAAGTATTGTATACAAACCCGGAGAAATCTGGCCCGCGGTGCAGTGTCGGCACAGAGCTGCTCGAAGACGACATCCATTTGCTTGGAGGCCTCGCACCAGGGCGTACGGAAATGGAGCACGACCGATTTACCAGCCTTGACAACCTCGTCGAGATGCGCCAATCCACGAGCTTCTTCCACCATGAGCGCCATGGCTCTCCCTCTTCGATCGCTCGAGACCCTAGAACAGAGGAGACCTAGGGCAAGCTTTTAAAGAGGACGAGCAAGCGCATATTCCCTCCCAACAGATAGCGCATATTCCACCACCGCCCCACCCAACGTTGTAGTGGTCAAACAGAGACCGCTTCTATACATAGACATCAGCAAAGAAACTAAAGAAATTAAGAGAGATTTATTTCTGAAGCACTAGAATACATTACAAAATACCTTATGCACTTCTTTCTTCAGCTCGCCCACTTGCCACGTCAGCACTCAGTTAGGGCTCAATCAAACTAGACACCGTTATCACCAGTGTCACTTTAGCCCATTATAACGTGCAAAACCCCGTTTTCGTGCATCGGGCGCCACGTGTTGAGCTGTGGCCGGCCAGATTACTATACTAGGAGAGTGATGTGGATAAAATATGTGTGAAGATTGATTCACCGGGATATGGCGACTGAGGGCTTGGTCGCCGCAGGGGCTAGTGCAGCATTGGGAGCTCTTCGAGGAGATCTTCGAGGAACAGCCGACCTTCTGATCAAGCTTGCTTGTGCTGCTCGCAACAGCATAGGCAGATGCCAGGCGATGGCAGACAAGGTGAACATGGTTACCACCGCCCTCGAGAGCAGATCATACAGGTACGACGATGTCAACCTTCAGGCTAATCTAGAAAAGCTGCTAGTTGTGATGAAAGACTGCGTGTGTCTTGTCGAGAAACACAGCAAGACGAGTGCGGTGAGCTTCTTCTTCTCGTGCCACGCTCTCACTGTTGACGAATTTGACGACCTCGACGCGCGCCTCAATCGCTGCATCAGCTGCTTGAATCTGAACTTCCACATCTCCTCGTATGATTGCAGTCATGAGCACAAAGACGAGATCATAGCCCATATACAGGCCAACACAGCACGAACAGCACGAACTATTGAGGAGATAAAGCAGCTGGTCAAGGGCCAGGAGCCCGTAGAATATTTGACAGCCGTGCAGGGCGTTGTGACCGTGGGTGAAGCCTTGGCCGGGGACTACATGATATCTGCGACGCTCACCGACAACAGCTCCTCAGTGTCACGGAAAGTCATCCTAGTGCAGTCACACGAGACAAAGAAGGAAGTTGCGATCCTGGAGAAACTAAGCCTTCACGAGTGCATACTTGAGTTTCTTGGCATCTTTCCATATGGTGAGTCCAAGCCTTATCTTGTCTTTGAGAGGCCCTCCGAGGAAATGACAACATTGGACGAACTGATCAATAAGAACCCGGGGAGTTTTATGAGTGACTGGAGAGTAAAGAGACAGATCGCTCTGGAGCTGGCAAGAGGTATGAGAGACTCTCATCTGGCCGGTGTGGTCCACAAGAATTTCCGCAGCTCCAACATATTTCTTAGCGGTGACCTTCAGCACGCTAAGATCTTTGGCTTCTACCAGGGAAGGATCAAGCTGGAGCCAAGTGCCAAGAAGTGGATGAACGACGAGCAAGTCCGCTGGGCTGCACCTGAGCAAGTTCAGAGACACCGACCTGCCTTTGATGAAAAGTGTGACATCTACTCACTGGGAGTGGTGATTTGGGAGCTCATCACTGGGAACTTTCCTTTCGCCAAATACACTAACTACCGAAAACTTACCAGAGATCGGGACGAAAATGTTGCCCTCTTGGATGACTTCCCTGTGGAATGCAAAGCAGGTGAACTGGGCAAGTTCAGCAGAATCTCTGAGCTCTGTAGAGATCCTCTGCCTGATAACAGACCATCTCTCGAGAACATTATCAATGATCTCCACAAGCTCCTTCCCGAAGAGATGATTTGAAATTTGAAGTGCTTCATATTTCGGTGCAGTGTGTGAAGAAAATTATAATAAAAGAGCTTAGATCTTAGATCATCCATTTCTTGAAAGTGCATTTGGCTCCGGAGGCAGATCCCTGCAATCTTGTATGCTGGTACTGGTTGACATGCTCATGCTCAAAAAGTAAAGTAAATATTCCCTCGGTTCAAGGTTATCTTAGAATATAAAGTTTTGTATGGAGTTTGTTAAAATGAATGCTTCTAAGAGAACCACAATCACAGAGATTGTAAAATAATGATAAATTTTCATCAAACAATTTCTAACGTTAAAAATTGGTTTTAGGGTTTATCAGGAGAAAACTATTAAAATATATAGAAAATATTAAATTATATATAATTTAATATTTAAGCTATCTCAATTTTATTAGATAAAATTATAATATAGGATAAAGTTTTCTTAAAGTACACAAAAAAAAATTTAAAAAAAAAAATTCACCACAATCTTAATTTATTATTCTAAACTCTTTGTGGTCATTATGAGTGGCAAATTTTTTATCTTTACCCATAGAAATTCATAATTAATAAAGATTTGCATTATCTAGACAAGTTGTCATATTTTTTTTCTTGTGATTAGAAAATATGGCATATAAACCTTTTTTCTCATGCGCAAAATAGCTATACAAAAACTAAAGTGGAAATATATTCTATATTAATATCTTAAGTATAAAGATTATAAAAATTAACTATATTTAGGCTCAATAAAAAAATATTTTATAGTCCAAGATGTCTAGATTTAAAGTTATAAAAATTGTTATTATTGAGTTTCTTGAAAAGTTTACAGCAGTTAAATATTATGTTTATATTATTATTTTATATAGTAAGATCTTATATATAGGTAATTACTCCTCAAAGATATATAAATATAATAGGTAATAATCTTTGAGGTAGTAAATATATAGGTAATTACTATAATTATATTTTAGTTTTAAATAAATTTTTAAAATTTTTCATTTTCAACTCAAATAAATTGCAGGGTTAGAGTTAATACTATTATTTGTAGTTTTAAACAGTATCTTAAATTTTTATTTTTCATGTTTTCTTCTAAATATCATAATCAAGACCAAATCATCTATCCTTTAATCTTTTACCATATGAAATTTTTAGTCTTTTCACATACATTTATAATAAATCATTTGTTTTTTCCATCTAAAAATCATTAATCTTACTGCAATGAACAAAGCTATAAAATGGAAAAAATCTTGCATAGCTCGCAACAAACATTTATTGAGGGATGTGCATGACTAGAATGGGATAGATACTGTCAATAATATTGAATAATTTCAAGGACACAAACTCTGAAAATGTGTATTAAGATTTTGTTGAATCAGAATTTATTTTAGTGCCTACACTAAATGCTAGTTAGTAGCATATTTCTAAGGCATGAATCTCTATTACATTTTTCCTTATAGAACATTACCTTCCACCAGAAAAGATCCCTGTCCATACTAAATATAAGCATCCATAATTAGACTTTGGTATTTATTTGAAACCAGGAAATATCTGAATGGTACTTTGAAAACTATTTTTGTAATCAAGGTAATTAAGCTATCGCACTGCACAGCTGAAAACAATAAAGAAATATGAAAAATTGACAAACAAAAGTTTCTAGCATACCCATTACTCCCAATTCAGCTCATTCTCATCTCCTTAAGTGTTTAACATAGAAGAGCTGCTGTGAGGACCCACAGAAGTGGTAACATCAACGGGAGTGCTGAAATATAAAAGAAGTAAACTCCCGTAACAACAAAAAAACTACATACCAAGGAGAAGGCATCAAGCTCTCAGAGTCGATAGCAAGCTCTACAACACCTTGAAATTTTGTTAAAATATACCGCACTTTAGAAAGTTGATGAAGAACCTACCTTTCCTTCTCTCCTCCTCTGCACGCCAAAGCTTATGAGCCTGCCTAAGTATATCCTCTGGAGTGCTTTGGATGGAAGGATCTTTGGCACGCCGGTCTTGCAACTCATTAGTAGCAAGCTTGAGTAAATCCGTCATCTTCAGAGTGCTCCACATGCTAATCCAGATAAGGTTTGACTAACTCGGTAGAGCATATATATCTAGCACTTACTTGCCAACATAGATGTGACCAGATGAGTTCTTCACAGAACTGTGGAACATTTTCGGCATATCTTGGTGCAGCAAAGGGATGAAGACGTACCCATCTGCCACACACTTAATACTCAAACACAAACTTGCAACAAATAACTCACCTTTCTCACAAATGATGCAAAGGGCTTCCATCCTAGCCCGACTGTATAAAGCTTGTCCTGTTGTCTTTATATCCTGGACTTTGCCTCCCACATTCTCTTTGTACACAATTGTCTCCCGCTTACGAGCCGCTTGCTTCTCCTTCTTGCGGCTAGTCTGCCCCATCAATCGAAAAAGCTTAAACCCTAAACCCCTAGGGTATTTATTCTGAGAGAAGAATCAATTGAGGAATCCTTCTATTTTAATTGCTGAAAAGCCTGATTCACCAAATTAGAAAACCAAAAAAAAAACAAAAGTCAGGCTAAAATGAAAAAGAAAGAAGGAAAATACAGTCCGTGTCCATTGATCGATCACTCTTTCTTGGGGACTCTCGACTTGTACAAACAAATGTAGGCTGTGTGCCAGTCCCCTGTGAGAACCCAATTAGTGGCGTCTTGTTTTCGGAAGCTCACTCACCTCCTCCAGAGAGTTTTGTAATGTCTTCCTCCCGTTGTGGAATTGGGCGATCGTCGTCAAACTCGATCCATTTCCCTGAAACATTTAAAAAACACAAGTTTACCACAGACAAGTCCGGTATCTCTTGCCATTTTCTTGTTTGACCCAAGCCACATAGTGCCCCGAGTCGGCACTCCGTCCCTTGTGCGTCAAAACAGCCACCAAGTCGTATATGCCTGACAGTAAATAACTCTTGTGAGCAATTCCTTTGATTTTCACCGACCCCCTTCTCACCTGTTGGACTCCCTTGCTCAGTGGTAGACCAATCCTGTCCATGAGAGAGGTTAGGTAACTCCGATGCTGATAATTCCAAAAAGAAAAAGAGGGAAGGTTACCATAGACGAAGGCGCTGGTCCATCTTCAATCTTTCTCTTACCTTTAAGTCCAGCTTCTCTGTCCTCTTGTTCTCTCAAAAGCTGTAAATGAACAGACAAGGATGTTAACGACATGCAAGCAGAATCGCAAATACCTCGCGTGGTGCCTTCAGTTCATTTTTTAAATCCTCCGAGCAAAAACCCATGACATCCAAAACTAATGGATAATCGACTTTCTGCACGTTAAAAGGACATTTTCTTTGAAGCAAATGTTTAAAACCAAAACTTACCCTCAAGATCTTTGCTTTCTGTTTCGTTTCCCGCTTCCAGAAGAAACGAACAAACTGCACAGTCAAGTATCTGAACAAAACAGTGCACATTTAGAGCAATTGATAAATCATAAAACCCACGTACTGAGGAAGACGCGTGATAACGGATTCCTTGCTGTGAACTGCAGATCTACCCAAAGAAGGCGACGTTTTCTCGAGCTCGGATTTTAGCCCCTGCAAACGGACAGCGCAGCGTTCGCTAGCTGTTTCTTCAAGTAATGCGAACCTGTTTCAAGCCTTCGTTAAGATGATTGACGTCCTGTGAAATGTGGCACTTTAAAGAGTAGACAGTTTCAGCTTCTTCGGTCTCCTCTTCAGTTTCAGCGCACTTGATTCTGAAAAAAGAATAAAATCACATGTGTATCCGAACATGTCAGAAAATGACTCACCTGCTTGAGATGTCTACACCAAACAGATTCTTTAGTGTCGCCTCCCTGGTAGAGAAATTAAGAAATACCACATCAGTCAGTGACAAGTAAACGCGGACCTGGTCTCTCCAGAAGATGGCCGCAAACGCTGAGAAAGTGTATACACGAGTTGCGTCCAGCATTCTTCCGCATCCTGCTGCATGTAAGCTCCATTGTTGGCTTGTTGAGCGAACTGTGGAAACTTGCTTCGCAACAGCTACAATAGGGAGCCATGAGTATATCAAGGAGCAACGTAGCAATGCTAGAGTACCGTCCAGAAGCGGAGAGGAGCCACTGCCCTGTGGCTGCTGTCAAGCTCGCCAAAGAGGTCACGCGCTGCAAGCGTTAGAGTATGTGATGACGGGTCCATGTCAGTCCCCGCTCCCGCGGAGTAGCTGCAAGCATACACATCACAAAGTCGTGGATGCGTAAGACCAAAACCAACCTTTTCAGAGCGGATCTTAGCTCCGGAACGGAATGGAGGCACTGAATGGTTGAGTTCATGTAGCACGTATTGCCCAGGTTCATCAATCCTGCTGTGAATCCCTTTAGTAAGGGAGATAAGTTTCCAAGACGAATGGCGATGATTACTTTTTGTGTCGAAAGAAAAAGGAGATGAGATAAGCAAAACCACCAACCTGTTCGATCACTCCTTGCTCGTTCTCGGGCAAATCTTCCACAAACAGTGTGCTCTTTTCCGGAGCTTTGGGAGCTTCTTCGGCAGTTCCCATCATCATCAATCGCTGTCCCTGAGGAAAAGAAATGGCCAGAGTCACAGACATAAAAATCGTAACGCTACCTCCTTCACAGCAAGCTTGCTCCAGTCTCCATCGTCCTTTATTGACACCAACAAAGAGCTCAGCAAGCCTGAGAGAACGAGAAATAGAGTGAAGCGCAGCTTACCTTGAGCAGGCCGCCCTTGACCATGATCTTCTGCCTGTCTGGAGGAACTCCGGTGAGATCGAAGAGCTGGCATTTGAAAACGTAGGGCGGTTGCTCCGTGTCGATCTCCACAGAGGGGAACAGCTCCTTCTGCCACTTGACACTGACGGTAACTGCGCAGGGAAATGACGAGAGTGAGCGAGCGAGTGAGAGCGCGAGCGCGAAATCGACCTGACGGCATTGTCACGAAGAACCCTAAATTCTGGGGAATTAGGTCGACAAGTTTGCTCGAGGTAAAAACTTTAAGGATGGAGCGCATTTGGATCTAGCAGACGGGCATGGCATCGCATGGACAATGGGCTGGCCTCTGCGATTAGATCGTGTCGAGATTTGGATCAGGCCAGGCAGCTCCACAGGCAATGGGAGGGAGCAAAGGAATCGAGCGGGAGCCTCTATCTGGGAAATCTCCTCATCGAAACATATGGCAAATGCGGGCATCCCGAGTGTTCCCGCAAAGTTTTCGACAGTCTCCGGCTGCCCAACACCTTCTCTTGGAACCTTCTCATCTCTGCCTACGCTCGCAATGGATTCCTCCATGAGGCCCAAGAACTCTTTGCGGCGATGTCACCCCGGAGCTTGGTGGCGGCAAACGTGATGATCACCGCATATGCCCGAAAGGGGCATGTCATAGATGCAAAGAATGTCTATGATTCTATGCTAGAGCACAGCTCCGTTTCATGGAGTGCTATGATCGCAGCTTTTTTATCAGCTGGAGATCTAGGCGACGCTTGCGATCTTCTACAAGCATTGCCAGAGAGGGATATTACGTGCTCAAACTTAGTCATTGCAGCATATGCTCAGGCCGGGCATTTGCCTCAAGCCAAGCGTTTGTTTGACGAGATGCGTCACCGTGACATAGCGACTTGGAACGCAATGCTCGAGGCACTCGCTGGTGCCAGAGACGACGTGATCGAAATGGAGAGGTTTTTCGAGACGATGATGCCGGGGTGGAGTGCCGCGTCTTTGACAATACTAGTGACTTCACTGGCTCGCCATGGCTGCTTTGACGAGGCTCGAGTAGCATTCGAGGCAAGGCCACAGCTACACGACCTTGTCTCGTGGACTGCACTGCTTGCAGGCTTCGCTCTCCATCGCGATGGCAATGAGGATATCCAAGAGAGCGAGAACATCTTCTTCCACAAAATGCCCCTCCACAACCACGTTACTTGGACCATGATGCTCGCAGCCTACGCCAGGCACACGGATCTCTCGCGAAGGGCGTCCGAGTTCTTCCACGAAAACTTGCCGCAGCACTCCATCGCGTCGAGCAACACCGCTATGGCAATCCACGTCCAGGCCGGGAAGATGGACCGGGCTCGCGCGCTGTTTATGGAATGGAGCTGCGAGACGTCGAGACGTGGGATCTTCTTCTCAGGGCCACGCCAGCTGACGAGGTGAATCGAGTGTTTGAGAGAATGCCCGAGCACACTCCGCTGTCGTGGGCTACCAGGATCACAGCAACCGTGACGAGTCGTCATCTCGAGAACGCTCTTGCCATGCTCGACAGCCTGCCCGACCACCACCATCTCGAATCGTGGACGAAGCTTGTGAAGTGCTTTGGCGAGCAGGGATTCTTGGAGACCGCCAAGACAATCTTCGAGACGCGAATGCCCGTGCACGACCGAGTCTCGTCCACGGTGATGCTGATGGCGTATGCCCGGCACGGGCATTTTGTCCAAGCAAAGGAGATGTTGCAAAGCTTGCCGGACAGAGACATGGAGTCGTGGAACTCCCTGCTCCACGTCAATGTGGCGGACGAAGCCTTGAAAGTTTTCCAGAGAATGCCTGCTCGAGACGTGGTTTCGTGGACGAGCATGCTCACGTCCTACGTCCAAGCAGGTCGAGCGGAAGAAGCTCTCCATCTCTATCGTTGCATGAACCTCGAAGGCGAACGGATCAACAGAGTCACCCTGGTGGCGGCCATCGATGCCTGCGCCGATGCTGCCGCCATAGCCGACGGACAAGCCATTCACTTCGGTTACGCTGCACACGACCACTACTGCTGGCCCGACACCAAACTTGACGCTCGAGTAGAGAATTCGCTGCTGAGTATGTATGGACGATGCGGGAGCTTGGCACAGGCCACGGCTCTGTTCGTCGAGATGCGCGAGAGAAGAGACTTGGTGTCGTGGAACACCATGATCACAGCATACGCGCAGCGGCAGAGCCGATCAAACACCTCTGCTGCGCTTGAGGTGTTCCAGCGGATGAGCCAACAAGGTGTCCGTCCCAACGACATCACTTTCACTGCGCTGCTGTGTGCTTGCAGCCGCTCCGGATGGCTTGACGCTGCCTGGAGCTTGTTTCGCACTATGATCGCCGACTTCGGCCTCGAAGCTTCCACGCGCCACATCGTTTGCATGGTCGATCTGCTCGGACGAGCGGGAAGGCTAGACGATGCCGAGAGAGCGATCCGCGGAGCGTCACTGGCCGAGCTCGGTGTTGCCTGGAGAACGCTTCTCGCTGCCTCGGAGGTGCACGGTAACGCAAACACTGGAGCACGGGCTGCAAAGCTCGCAGCCTCGTCGGCTTGTTCTTCCCGTTCTCCGGCCTACGTACTGCTATCCAACTTACTGACCACGTCTTAAGCTCGTCGAACGACTAAATTTATACATACCGAAACGTATATAGATACAAGTGTTTGCCGCCGCCGCCGCCGCTGCTGCTCGATGCTCGATCGAATCAAGTCAAGCACGCGGCAACAAGCGTGCCCCTGAGAACCAAGTAGTATCTCACCCACGTAAATCGCTCCATGTAGTACGAAGGCGTGGGAGTTTGTGCTGCTCCCACCACCAAGTCGAGCACTCCCGGGGCCTTAAACTTTGTAGGAGTGTTCGTGGCGAGGTTGTCCACCTTGTGCTCGTAGATGAGACCGTCCGAATCCAGCTTGTACTCGGAGGTGCCGTCGAATTGACCACGAGCTTCCCACGGCACCCTTGGAATCCCATACACTGTCCATCTCACCATGATCACCTTGTCCCGTGGCTGCCAGATGCGCTGGATCTCTATCCATATCGCCTTGAAGAAAATGCGGCCATAGAACCTGAGCCCCCAGAACATGAGCTTGTAGTTTGCAATGCCACTGAAAGTGATGAGCGGATCCCGGAATGTGATGTCGTCCCTGGAAATAGCCCGAGTAAGAAATCGATCGTTCTTGCCCACTCCAAGCAAAGGTTTTCTTTCTTGCTCACTTACCTGTAGATGTCGAAAGTCGGTGGCTTGTAGAACATCCCGGGGAGCTCGTCTCTCAAGCTCCGGATCGCATAGCCTACGTTGACGTGATAATCGTCTCCCTGCTGCTGCTGCTGCCGCCGCTTCTTCTCTTTTTGCTCTGGAGGAGGCACCTCCACGGCATAGCTCAGCAAGCTCCTCTTGTGGCTATCCAAGTCGTCCTCGTCGAGAATTGGGATAGTGCCACCCGGCACAAGAGGCCATCCCACGGGCGGCCGCCATTCCCCATTCTTGCTCCTGCCCTGCCTCTCTTCCACTAGATTGCTGCATTCTATCCTGGATTCTCTGATTCTAGCGTCCAATGAGTACCTTTTCGACGCTGCAGCTCTGCTGCTGCCGCTGCTACTGCTGCTGGAGACGCAGTCGTGAGCGCCATCGCTGGACGCGGCGCTGCGCTGATGCGGCGATGCCGCCGCCACAAAGCTGTGCAAGAAAACGCACGCCATTGTGCTAGCCCTAATCCACCCCGAGCATATTCGTTCCCGGATCTCCCGGAAGAGCCCTAATGTGTGATTGAGGGGAATGGAGGCGATATTTCACGCACTCCCAGTGTTTTGAGCAGCCAAATAGAAGAAGGATCTTGTTTGTGCATAGATGAGTGAATCCAGGTACTGTTTGTTCACTGCTTCCTGGGTCTTTTAATTTTGTGTTTCATCAAAGTAGCTCCTTTTTTAAAAGGTAATGCATGGCTTATTTCCTTTGTTTGCTTCTCATCTCATATGAATACTTGTATCAGCCTTCACGTCCTTATTTGTGATGGAGTGGCCTCTATGCTTGTCAAGGAAGAAGTTGATGCCCACTCCAGGTTATTTATCTTTGCGGGCCGATATTGAAAACGGATTCTTCGTCTTCAAACGAAAGGTTTTTGGTTGGTACTTTGAACTCACTTCTCAGGGGGAAGGAGATCATCAGCCAATATAGTGACATTACATCTGAATGCTTTCTGGATTGAGCATTCATTCTTGTTGCAAAAGAAGCTGGTGAGCTTGCAAGAGCCTTGATATATCAGCCGTGTTGATGTTGTTCCTTGTCTGCAGCGCAAAGGAAGGCATGTACGCTGCTTGATAATGCTGATCCAGCCTAATTCTTTGCTTCTTTCAGACACATGCAAGAGGAGCACACGCCAATCATCGGGAACCAGATGATTGATATTGAGCTGCATAGGGCGGATTACGATTTGCTTCGAGTCGATGGCCGCGGCTTCAAAAAGTGAGTGGAGGAACGGAAGCTTCCGACGTTCTCGAAGAGGCATGGGTTTGAGAAGCCGAATGATGAGCGAGCCTCGCAGCTAATGGAGCACTACAGGAACACAATGGGATCAGCGATGAGTACAGTTTCATCATTCGCAAGAATTCATGTCAACAAACAAAGTAAGCGCTGTGACCTTACATACTTTTGCTTGCAGCAACGAGCTCATATCGAAGATCGTTTCATTATTCACAGGAACATAAGTATTGCGTTGGTGCAAGTTCTTCCCCAAGAAAAAGCTCAGCACCTGTCTTTGATGCATACCCAACAGATTCAATACTTCGAGACTAACTGGCATGGCGTCAACTGGACTGCAAACGCTGATGCGAACTTCATCAACTACTGTTCTTTGGTTCAAGTCACATCAACAACGTCAACACATGCTTCTGGATGCTGGGACTGGATTCCAGTATGGCCCACAGCAAACTGAAGGTAGTGAAGATTCATCTCATGATACTGCTGCAGAATGACCATCTTGAATGATTTCCCAGGGAACGAGGTCGATCGACAAGCAGGAGCTCTTACAGTGAACTTCCTGCAAAATACCGCAAAGGACTTGGATTGCTCTTTGCCTCAGCTTATGCCTGTCAAATTGAGAGTCCCTACACCGTGCTCTTTAAATCGTGCCCTGCTACCAGTAGTCTCTGCACGAGCACAGGCCATCTTCAAAGAGATGAGCCCGGCTCCCATCTCTCACACTGATCTTTCGCTGGAACAGCATGGACACGTACTTGATCACGGCATGGCAGTCAGCACACATCCGGTGCTTGCTACAAATGCGCATCATCGCGTCCCGAGGTAGTTTGATCACACCAAACGCCACAGCCAGCCTCTCGCTGTGGTGTCTCTCGGCTTCCACCTTCCCTCTGATCAATCCCTCGCTGCTAGCCTTGAAAATGTAGCCAACGCTCGTCATCCTCAACCGCATTCGCTCCAGGAACCTCTCGAGCTTGCGAGACATGGCGTGCTTCTTCCTCGAGTGGCCTTCGAGAAACCTGTAAACTTTGCCGTGGATCTCGATGAAGCTCGACTGCCGCTGCTTGTACCGCCTCATCTTGGCGATCATCTCCTCGGCCTTGGCACGCATCCCTTCCTCCACGTACATGTTTGCAAGGATCTCGTAGGGGAGGTGGTCCTTGCTATCCAGCTTGAGCATCTCCCTCGCCGCTCTCCTTGCTCGCGGGAGATCCTTGTGAACTTCGCTGGCCGTCAGCAAGCTCAGCCAGTCGAGCCGCCCTGGATGAAACGGCGAGTGATTGACGAGATCCTCCACCTTGGCGACTCGGCCTTGCCGTCCCAGCAGCTGCATCACCATTCTCAGGTGCTCCACTCGAGGCCGGATGTTAAAGTCGGTGATCATCGAGTGGTACAAGCTCCGGCACTCTCCGAGCCTCCCTTTGTGGCTTGAGCCCGCGAGGAGCGCGGTGAAGGTCTCAGCATGAGGTAGCAATCCTTCCAAGTTCAAGCTGTGATACAGCTCCGCAGCTCCAGTGACAAAGCCGTGATCGGCAAATGCCGAGATGAGCGTCGTGTACCTCGTCGTTGTCTTGTACGCCATCCCCTCAATCTTGTCCCTGGCAACCTCCAAGAGCATGCACTTGCCGTAGAAGTTGGCGAGCGCCAGCTCCAGAACGTCCTTGACTTGGATTGCCGACTTCGCGAGCTCGAGCACCCGGGATCCATACTCGAGAGCCACGAGACCGGCGCAAGCGTCGATGGCTGCCACGATCGTAAACTTGTCGGGCGAGGTCCCGTCTTGCACCATCCGCTCGAAGAAGTGGAGGGCCTCGTACGAGTCACCGCGCCTGGCGTAGGCCGTGATGATCGAGTTCCAAGTGTAGGCGTTCTTGGCGGGGATCCTCTCGAAGAGCCGGGTGGCCGTCTCCATCCGGTTGCACATCGCGTACATGTGAACCACCGCGGTCCCGGCACAAACATCCGACTCCAGTCCCGCCAGCCGGACCTGCTGGTAGATCACACTCCCGTAGAGCAGCTCCGCCGAGTTTGCGCAAGCGTCGAGAGCAGCCACCAAGCTCGCTCGATCCTGGACGCCGCCCTCGAGCTGCATCATCCGGTGGAGCACCACTCCTTCCACCGGAGCTCCACTTCGAGTGAACGCGACGATGAGCTGCGTCCAAGTCACGCTGCTCTTGCAGGCCATGGCCTGGAAGACTCTGGCGGCCGCGTCGAGCTGGTCGAAGGCGTAGTACATCGCGATGAGAGCGTTCCCCAGGATGGTATCGCGGGTGGCGTAGCCCCGAGACGCGGCCAGCTCGTGGAGAAGCCGCCCGGCTTTGACACTCCTCTTCTGGAGGCTGAGAGCCGCGACGCTGGCACAGGCATTCACCGCGTGAGTGAAGGTGACGGCGTTTGGTTCTTGGCCATGGAGCAGCATCCTCCGGAAGAGTCGAAGAGTCTCGAGTCCAAACTCCACTCTTTGGAAGCCGTGAGGGAGGAGCTTGTCCTTGGAGCGCAGCACCAGAGCTCCCAGCATGAAGTTCCAGGCGATCACGTCCTTGCTCTCCATTCTCTCAAACACGGCATAGGCCTGCTCGGTGTCCCTGCATTTGCCATACATGTCGATCAGCTGCGTAGCGATTAGAACGTGAGAATCCACACCTGGTTCTGAGAGTTCTTGCTGGTGGAGCTGGCTTCCTCCCTCCAGATCTCCCTTGCTTGCACAATCTCTCAAGGAGGACATTCGATGCTGGTATTGCTCCACAGTCATGTTGAGTTGCTTGAGATCATCCTTGCCTGGTCGTCGGGAAGTGCTGCTGGGTTTTGCAACTTTGGAGATCTCCTTCTTCTCCTGGCTGGGCTTTGCAACTTTGGAGATCTCCTTCTTCTCCAGCTCCTTTCTTTTGTTTGCTTTCGAATCAGGTGCTTTCTTCCTGGCTTGTTCTTCCGCAGCATTCCTTCGTTTCATCTTCTTTCCTTTGGGCACCACAGGAGCGGCGGGCAATGTGGACAGGGATCCAAACAAGCGCACGACGATCCTGGAAAGATTGTTGAAGTGAAAAAATGTGAATCGCTAGCGAGCGCGAGCACTTACCTGTGATGCCTGGTCATGCTCAAACAAAGTCCTCACGGAAGAACCCTAATCCTATTCTCTTGTTCTTGTTTACAATGCATGGACGACCGAGGACGCGGGCCACTGCGGCAGCTGACAAGGAAAGCGAAGCCAAGGCCGAGCGCTTCGAATTGCTTCTCTCTGCGGTACTGAGGAATCACCAGCAGCGATGGTAAGATCGGTGAGCCTGGATCGATCGATTGATTTACTCTAGCTTGTTTCTTTCTAGTTACACCAAAGAGGCTCTAGAAGAGAACGCCCGGCTGGTGGAGCTCAATCCAGAGGTTTACACTGCTTGGAACTTCCGGAAGCTCGCCCTCAAGAGTCTCTTGGATGCCGAACCCGACGAGGATTCTCGCAAGGATCTCGTCAAACAAGAGCTCAAAGTGGTATGAAATGAAATCTTTCGTTCCTCCTCTTCGTATGTCTCACGAGAGCCGAGCTTTCTTTTGTAGACCGAGAACGCGTTGCGAGCACACATAAAGTCGTATTCTGCGTGGCACCACAGGAAATGGGTGATTGCTCTCGGTCTTTCATCTCTGGACGACGAATTGGATCTGCTAGCGCAGCTCTTCAAAGTAGACGCTCGCAACTTCAATGCCTGGAGCTACCGCAGGTTAAAGTGACAACAGTGTCTTTGTCTGGTCTCTCACTCGCGATCTCTCTCTTTTTTTTCTTCCAACAGGTACATCGTGGGTCTCATGGGCGTTCCCGTGCAACAAGAGCTCGACTATACCATGACGCTACTCAACAAAAACTTCAGCAACTATTCCGCTTGGCACAATCGCAGGTTGGTTTTCTCGCTGCAAGCACAGCGTTGATATTCTATGGTTTGCAGTGCGTTGCTGCTGGAGCTCTTCAAGGAGATAAAAGACGAGCAGGGCAAGGAGTCGATTCTCTCGGAGGAATTTGAGCTTGTGAAGCAGGCCTTATACACAGATCCGTGTGATCAGAGTGGCTGGTTCTACCATAGCTGGCTCCTGGGCCACTCGTCCAAACAAGATAGGCTCGGGACAGAGATCGATATGTGCAGGGACCTGCTAGAAGCCGAGGAAGACGCAAGGTAACTCCAAGCTAGATCTTTGCTCCTTTGAAGTTGACGATCTCTCTCTCTCTCTCTCTCTCTCTCTGGGGTGCAGTGACTGGGCCAGGAACACCCTCGGAGAAGAAAGGTGAGTTCTTACCTTCCGTGTTCGCGTGTTCTAAGCCTGTGCTGCAACAGTAAGTTTCCTCGGTTGACACTCGCACGGCTGCTAAGCTCGGCCCCTGGAGTTGACAAAGCCGAAGTGGTCTCACTCTACGACCGACTGGTGCGAACGGACCCTCCACACGCAGCGTATTACAAAGACATGTTGCAAAAGAGTCGAACAACAGAGGAAGAAGCTCGTGTCCTGTGATACAACTTCCGAAGAATGTGAGTTACAAAATGGTATCTTTAGTGATCTGTGTTGTCAGAGCCCTCGGTCGAAGAAGTAACCGGAAGAGTTACTTGGGGAGGTTCTCGGAGAGCTGTGTCATGAAGGCACCGACGGATGCCGCGTCTGTTTGGATCCACGCGGCGTCGAACCCATCCTGCTGGAAATCTACACCCAAGTTGGCTGCCACCGTCTTGAACACGGAGCCAAAGCGGTTCCCCATCTGAGCTCCCAGCCGGAGCCTGTGTGAGACGCCAACCACGAGTGCCTTGTCCGATTGAGGACAGCGAATGGCGCAGACGAGCGGCTTGCTCCGAGCACCTTGCTCCCGGAGAGCGTCCATGACGAAGTAGCAGAGCTTGGTGAGAGCCATGGGACGAGCAAGAAGCTCCACGTCGTGACCATCCTCGAGCTTGAACCACCTGAACATCTTGGTGTTCTTTACGAATCCCTGCTTTGTCACCGCTAAGCTTCCCTGCCTCAGTATCGCACGCTGGACATTGATGGCTAGTTCCATTCCCTGCTGGAGCTCATGCCATCTCTTTGGCGCCAGTGCCGAATACGCCCGCATGAACTGGCCGCCGTGGTCATCGCAGCTTGCCTCGAGCAGTGCTGTGAGCCCGTAGACAACATCTGCCGCAGATACTTCGGAGCTGTATCCGTGAAGCTTCTGGAAACTACGGTAGTACAGGTCGGTCAGGCCAAACTGCGGTGACGACCTCTGGAATTCCTCCTTCATTCTGCGTCGAGTCTCTCCGCTCATATACTCGTACTTCTGCTGGCCTTCCACCAGCGCAATCCCCATGGTGGCCAGCAGCAACTTGAGCCTCTTAAGCCCCCCGTCACTCCAGGTCTTGAGCTTGGTGGCCACGTACGAGGAACACAGCATGGAATCATACAGCGTCCACTCTCTGAGCAGCATCAACCGTGGCTCCTCGTCGTTCGTAATGCGAGACCTGTCTGGCGCCTTAACCACGGTCCCGTCTTTCATGGTCACCTTTGTTACCATCTCCGAGTTGCCGGAGGTCTTGACGTAAGTGTCCAGCTCCATGACCCCCGACTGATATCTCTCCATGGTGAGCCTTTCGTGAACAAACTGGTCCGTGAGGGAGACGCATGCCAGCCACAGAAGCTCGTGGGTGTTGATGTGCAAGGCGTGAGAGATATCATACACTTGACGCCCAGCAGCTCTCCCGTGAAACGTCCCTGTTGAGTAGTAGTCTTTCTTCCGTCTCCGCATATCTCTCCTCAAGTTGTCCGCGTGATCAGAAGAGTTGTCCCTGTCCCTGCCCCTTTTCCTCATGCTATTGTGCTTGTCACCACCACCATCACCACCACCATCGAGTTCCTCCTCATCGTCGGATTCTTCCTCGTCTTCGTCTTCTTCACCATCGCTGGCAGCAGTCATAAATGAGAAATCCGCGAGGGAGCCCACATCAAAGTCGTAGACAATGTCCCTCTCCATCTCCTCCTCGCGGGCATAGAGCACGGTTACCTGCTGGTTGTGATCACTCCAATTGTTGAGGTGGATGGGCCTGTGACTGTCCACCACAAACACAAGAACCCTAGGCCCCAGCTTGAGCTGCCGCCGGAGATCTTGGGTGCCTCCCCAGTTGATGAGCAGCACCACCAGCGGCTCCTCCGCCTGGATGGCCGCGGCACGGCTGCCCACATCGGCCATCCTCGACACTGGGAACACCGAGTGGCGCACATTGTCCGCGTTGAGGATGGAGCGAAAGATCTTGAGCGCGCACACCGAATCGGCGTCCACCGTTGAGGGGAGGATGTGGAGAGGGCAAGAGGAGGCGGCAGAGGCGGCGGATTTGAGGCGCCGGTAGAAGTGAGCTCCGCTGCTCTCTCGCACCATTCTCCGGCCCCCTCTGTGCTATCTAGCCATGACCGTGGCGGCCAAGATCTGGAGCTCACCTCTCTTCTTGTCGATCATGGGATGGGATGGATCTCGCCCGCCCCGGGATCTCTCCCCAAAAACCCTAGAATAAGAAATGCCCGGGAAAATGGGCGGGCTGTTCAAATTGAGCCACGCTGGCAATGACATTGAAATTTTTAAAAAGCTAACGGTATGCCATTTTCACAGGAACCCTAGTTTGGCGCGGCCATGGCGAGCTCGGATATGTGGCCGTCCCTGCTCAAGTATGGGAATGCCAGTGTCATTCTCACCAAGGAAGCCGCAAGCCCCAAGAGAAAGGTATCCTCCCCCTCTCGATAGGGTTCTTACGTCCTTCCAGGGTTCCAAGCAAGCGCCGGCAGAGCCAAAGCCGCTTGCGACACAGCAAACGGACGACATTCTTGATGCGATTCTACCCCCAAGGTTTGTAGCCTTTGGGGCATCCCTATCGCATTGATTGATTGGATATTTCTTTCTTACACACAGGCAATGGGTTGAGGAGGGGCAGCAATGGATCCAGAAGGTGTCCAGTACGCCTGCGACTCGGCTGGACGTTATAAATCTCCAAGTAAGATTTGATGCTCGTGCCGGATTCTAACCTCGAGCTTGCTTTCTTGGCAGGAAAAACTGGATCAAGAATTGCAACGCCGGCAGGCACGCGAGACTGGCATTTGTCCCATCCGAGAGGAGCTCTATGCTCAGGTTGGTGCTTTTGTTCTCCTTGTATTCTGCGTTATGGGGTGCGATTTCGCTCGGCGTGACTATTTTGTGTCTCAAGTTTTTTGCAGTGCTTTGACGAGTTGATCCGGCAAGTGACTGTTAACTGTGCAGAGCGGGGGCTTCTTTTGCTTCGGATCCGCGACGAGCTCAGGATGGTAAGCTCTCATTTTTTCTGTTCACTTCTTGAAAACAATCGTCTGTGATTTGGCGGCAGACTATTGCGGCATATCAAACACTCTACGAGAGCAGTGTTGCCTTCGGATTGAGAAAGTCATTGCAGGCTGAATGCGGCAAAGCCGACATGGAGAATCGCATTCAGCAAGTAAGATATCTATCTACGCACTGCAAGGCGCTGAGACGCATCCATGCGCTGACTCAAACGTTATCTTTCTATAGCTCGAAGGAGAGCTCAAAGAACTCGATCGTCAAGTGGCCGAGTGGAAGGTGCGGATGATCAAATTTTCACGTTCATCAGATTTATTTATTTGTTTCTTTTAACTTTCTCCCAGAACAAGTGTGAGATGACCGAGAAGCAAAACGCCGAGAAGAAAGCTTACGACGATAAGAAGCATGCCGAGGAAGTGGCGTACTACACTCGCTCGAACAAGCAACTCAAGGCCCAGCTTGAGGCCTTCCTTGCTCCGGCCAAGAAATGAAACTCCCACAGCTTCTTCTTCTTCTTCTTCCACCAGTGTTCAGCGAACTACCTAAAAGTGCTTCTGGAATGAAACACTCAAAAAACAAATGCGCTGTGTGTGGAGATCGGGGGTGGGAACTTAGGAAGTCGAAGATGGTGGCGGTCTGTGCGATCAAGTCATGGGACTGGGAAGGATTTTCCGTGGCACATACATCGATAGGTGGAAGGGCAAGCCTCCGAGTCTCGCGACTCGAGGCACATAAAGCTGATGGTAACTCTGAGACACGGCGAGCAAGGGCCACAGGCGTGAGAGCAGTCTGGGAGCGCCGAGCCAGCCATCATCGACAGCTCCTTGGATCTGTTCCGAGGGACCTGGGGGCAGCAATGGTCGCGTTAGAAACAGGAAAGCAGTGCTCGACCACATTCTACCTCTTCCGCGGTGCTGTTGATGGTGATTTGTGCTTGGATGGTTTTGCTCTCGTCGGGCACTGCTTGGCAATGAACGAGAAGCATGAGCTCATAGGGAACAGGAACATGAACTTAGACAAAGAACTTACGAGGCCGATGTGTGGAAGAGAGCGGCAAGGTTGCGACGAGGACGATGAGGACGAGCAACAAGTGTAGAGGCGATGGTTGGACCATCGTCTCGCAAAACGGAAAAGCTTGCTTTGAGCGATCCAACCCTAGTCGAGCGGAAAAAGCGATGGAAAGCTTAAATACTCAAGCAAGTACATTATGCTCTTCACAGATGGGGAGCTCCCGCTATAAACGCGAGAGAATTTGTGCACAAGCGGCATAGCGGGTATCATAAACCGAAAAAGGAATCTCATTATTATTCGTTTTTATAGTGGTTACGACGAGGGAGCGTTCGTGATCTTGTTTGTCCGATTTTACTGTTTGATAGACAGTTATGTATCTGCCATGTATAAGCATTGATAACACAATCGCTCTCACATGAAACCAGCCAAATCATTCAATTCATCGGGACTGCTTAAACTTAGATCCGGGAATGCTGTGGCGAAGAAGTGGTCACTCGCTCCTCCTCCTCGTCATTATCAGTCGTCATGCTTAATGGCTCGTACTTGGCGCCAATGGAGGAGAACTCGGGATCTTGGAGCAACTTGTTCATCAAAGCCTTGTCCAGCTGCAAGTAGACCACAAACCCATCGCCCTTGCTCGCATTTGGAAGGAAGAGCAAGAATTGCGGGACGAGCCTGGGAACCGGGGGGTTGATCCCCGCGAAGCAAGGCCCGCCATAGCCAAACTCGACGTCGTAGAGCCCCACCCTGGCGCAGCTGGAGATGGCCATAGCGCGCTCCTTGCTGGGTGGTCCTCTTCCCGCGTAGGCCACGAACGCCCGGAAGTAGGCCTCGTCGGCCCCTTTGACCGCCTCGTGGACCGGCGAGACCGAGTTGGCCAGGGGCCCGTCAACGAAGTCCGCGCGGGGCATGACCACGGCCTTTGGGAGCGCCAAGTTGCCGGCAAACGTGGCGGCGTCGAAACAGGCGCGGAAGTCGACCATGAGCACGAACTTGGCCATGGCGTCGCTGTCGTCGAGCTTCATCACGTTGCGCACCACGAAGGCGGTGACGGCCTCGAAGGAAGTGGTGCCCGGAGGAGCCATGGCCTTGAGCTCCCGCAGTGCCTCCTTGTCGTAAACCAGCCCTTCGATGCAGGACTCGCCAAAGTCGTCCTCCACACTGGATTCGCCACTGTCGCTTGCTGGTGCTGGTGTCGAATGACATGATTTGGTTCCGACAATGGCAGCCGGAGGAGCTGCCGATGGATTCGAGCCAGTAGAGGCGCTTGAGACGCTGGCGCCGGTGGTGGCGGCCACGAAAGCCGACCTGTCGTGGATGGGATCCTGGGACAGGGTCTTTCCTCGCGTCAGCTGTGACCACGCCTGCATGAACATGGAGACGGCGTGTGCGTCCCCGCATTGGTGGTGGAAGCTGCAACCAAGCGCCACAGCGCCGCATCTAAAGCGCGTCACCTACACCAGCAATGCGTCAACTTAGCCTCGATCGGGAGCCGAGAGATGGAAACTTTACCTGGACGGAGAGAGCTGCGACGGGAGGAGCATCCTCTCGAGGGACCGCATTCAATCGAGGGGCCAGCAGCCGGAGCTGCAAGCACGGCCGGCAGAAGACCGTCTTGCGCAGCTCCTCGTCCACATGAACCACTCTAAACTCGGCACCTCCGTTGTCACAGTGGAGATCCCACGACTGCGTCTCCGGGTTCTTCTTGAGCCTTCCAGCCCAGGGGTAGTACGGGACGAGCACTTTGGCCAGCGAGTGGCGGACCTTGTCCACGAACGAGTCGAAGCAGTCGGCTGAAATAGCATCGTAGATGAAGTAGACTGGTATATAGATCGGCAAGATGAACTTGTCCAGGACAGACAGCGAAATCCACCTCTCCTCTTGGGCCTCCTCCGGAACTACAACCCAAAAGGAATCCTTCTCTTCCTCCTGCCCCTCGTCCTTGACTAGAGATCGAGCACTTTGTCTACATATCTGTATAGAATATGGAGTCATTGTATATATCAGTCAAGTTTTGCGAACTACCTTCACGGCTGTCGAGTCTGCGGATGTAGTGCTCGGCGATACCACGGGGTTTGTGGCATGGAGTTCGGATGCATGAGGAGGAATCCTGCGAAACAATTAAAGACACGAAGACTGAGGAAAATTTCTGTGCAGCCTAGAGCCATGAAACAAGATGCTGCTTGCCATTGCCAATCATCGCAACAACAAAAGAAAAGAAGCCATGACTTGCCTCTGTTGCTGTGCTCCGGGATCCATATGGTATTCCGGTAAAACGTACAGGAGAGGCACTCCTTTTGAGAGCAGCTGCTAATCTCTTTGCACCGCTTGCACCGCCAGAATTTCACCTATTTACAAGCAATATCAGTTCGTCAATCTCATGTCTTCGTTCCAGAAAGTCAAGTACTTGGCTTTGCTGGACCCCATGAAAGGTCGCTCTTGAACACACCTTTAGCGGGACCGTCCTCCGCCCGCCGAACAAGCGAAGAATTCCTTGTGGTCTAGGACACAAGAGAGGAACACACTGTCACAAGGATAAGTATCAGCCTGAAAGCTCATTGATATCCGGCGAGCAAACTAATTCAGTCAGGTATGAGGATTAGTATCGTATCGCTTGCGTTTTCTTGTCAACCAACGGTGGCATAATCGCGGGCAATTAGTTTAGCTTCGTACACTCCACGACGACGACGCTGTGCATCTCGTGACAATTCCTGAGCAGCAGCGTGTGTGGTCCAGTCGGGTCGGGCAGCCTCCGCCAGAGACAAATCTCTCGCTTCTGTGCATACGAGCTGTTTCCATTCCAAAAGGCTACACTTTGGAGGAAAAGAAAACCATCCATAAAGAAAGCGAGAGCTCTGCCAAAGGTGAAAACAATAAACAAGAAAAGATGCCAACCGCTGGGACCAAACGTTCTTCCGGGACTTGCAAGTCTGGCCGCAAGAGAAATGAGAGTGACTCTCACAGCGAGCTCCAGGATGTACGCACGTACCCGATCAAGGCAGCCTGTTTTTATCACGGACACATGCCCATTGCTGGCATATGCAGCAAGCCACGAGGATCTATACACCGTAGCTCAACGCTAAACGTGCTTTCCATCTCGTCACCTCAACGCTGTAAGCTTGTTCCTCCCACACACACATCTCATCTCAGGGTCACACCATCACGGTCGTGGCGGAGGCAAAGACTCGGATCTCTCATCCCAGCAAAAGAGTCAGTCACAATAGTGGCTACAAACGCCCACTGTGGCTGACGAGGGGGGTGTCGTCCGCCACCGACAGTGGCTGCGACGAGGCGCACGACTCGGCCTCGTAGCTGTAGTAGCCCCGCTCCCTCGCCGAGAGCAGCATCCGGACCACCTGACGCATGGATGGCCGCTCCAAGGGCTGGAAGTTGGTGCAAAACAGCGCAACCTTGAGCACCAGGACCATCTCGTCTACAACCGACTGGTCGGACAGATCTAGTCGCGTGTCCAGCAGCTCCGCCGCCGAGCACTGCGTCCCTCGCCTCACCCATGTCACCAGGTCCCCGCCCAGTTCCAGCGGCTGGATGGGACGCCGCCCCGTTACCAGCTCCAGCAACACCACGCCAAAGCTGTAGATGTCACACTTCTCCGTCACGATCATCGTGTAGGCAAACTCTGGAGATCCACACCAAGTAAGTGTCACTGTTGTAGGTGTGCGTAGCTTACCGGGGGCAATGTAACCGTATGATCCAGCCACCGCCGTCGTGGACCTCCCCTCGGGTTCGTCCAAGAGCTTGGCCAGCCCGAAGTCTCCGACGTGAGCCTCAAAGTTCTCGTCCAGCAGGATGTTGTTGGACTTGATGTCTCTATGCACCACCAGCGGCTTGCAGTCGTGATGGAGATACGCCAACCCCTCCGCGGCTCCCACGGCGATGTTGTAGCGCCGGTTCCAGTCGAGAGGGCAGTCGCTCCTGTGAAGCAGCTCACCGAGGCTGCCATTGGACATGTACTCGTAGAGCAAGAGATTGCAGCCTTGGTGGCGGCAGAAGCCCATGAGCTTGACGATGTTGCAGTGGCGGACCTGGCCCAGCGTGGACAGCTCCGTGTTGAAGCTGTTTAGAAAGCTCGAGTGGGCTCCGTCGCTCTGGGTCATGATCTTCTTCACAGCCACCACCTCGCCGGTGCCCGGCACCACCGCCTTGTACACCGTCCCGGACGCGCCACTCCCAAGCACGTAGCTCTCGGCGAAGTCGTGCGTCGCCGCCACGATGTCGGCGTACGTGAAGCTCGACTTGGCCACCTGGAACTTGTCGCTGCTGTCGCCGCCGCTGAAGTACCTGCTGCTGCTGGGATCGTCCAACGGATTGAGCGGCGTGGGCCGCCGGGAGCAAAACCAAAGGGAGCCCGCCGCGATGAACACCACCGCGCCGCCAAGGATCCCAAACACCACGCCCAGCACGAGCTTGACGGGCACCGCCTGCCTGGACGACGCTAGGATGCCCCCGCCACCACCCGGAGTGGCGGAGTTTGGACCGCTGCCCACACTGGTCTGGCACAGCTGGAACAAGGGAGCTCCACAGAGGCCACTGTTGTCCGCAAAGTTGGTGGCGTCCATGTTTGCGAAGGCCGGAGCGCCGGGCAGCGGTCCGGCGAGCTGATTGTGGGAGACGTTGAAGACGATGAGGCTGCGAAGCCTGACGAAGGAGGCCGGGATGGAGCCCGACAGCATGTTGTTGGAGAGGTAGAGGTACTCCAGGAGGATGAGGTTTCCCAGCTCCTCGGGTATGGGCCCCGAGAGATAGTTGTGGCTGAGGTTGAGCATGATCTGGAGGCTCGTCAGGTTCCCCAGCTCGGGCGGTATCAAACCAGAGAGCCTGTTTCCTCCAAGGTGGACCTCCGTCAACCTCAAGCTGCCACCCAGGGCCGCCGGAACTTGACCCTGGAGCTGGTTGTCCGACAGCCTCAATCGGTCCAGTGACTTGAGCGAGCCGATCCTGTCCGGTATGCCACCCGTGAACAGGTTCTTGCTGAGATCCAGCAGCTGCAAGTTGGTGCAGTTTGTGATGGACGCTGGAATCTCACCCGTCAGCCTGTTGCTCGAGACGTTGAGCACGACAAGCTGCGAGAGTCTGCCAATGTCCGGTGGCAGCGTTCCCATGAGATCGTTGTTGTTGAGGAGTAGCCTTGACAGGCTCGTGCTCGGCGAGGGGATCCCTCCGGTGAATCGGTTCCCATAGAGCTCCAGCGACGTGAGGTTGACGAAGCGGCTGAGCTCCACGGGTATGGTCCCTTTGAACATGTTGTCGCCGAGGCGGAGCTGGACAAGGGAGTTGCAACTCCGCACCGCCCAAGGGATCTGGCCGCTGAGCCCGTTGCTGTAGAGGTTTAGCCAGATGAGGCCACCGTTCCAGCACACGTACTTTGGTATGCCACCCACGAGATTGTTCTCGGACAAGTCGAGAACCGCCAGCCTGCTGTTCTTACCCATGAGCGGAGGGATGCTGCCCGTTATGTTGTTCTCGAAGAGATGGAAGCGCTCCAGCGTTGGGATGTCTTGCAGCACCGGCGGGATGTCTCCACTCAGGCTGTTCATCGAGAAATCCAGCACCTTGAGACGCTTGAACTGTCCAAACTCCGCGGGCACGGGTCCGCTCAGCCGGTTCTCAAACAGGTGGAGAAGCTCCAGGGTGTCGATCCTTGCGAGGTCCCCGGGTATGGCACCCGTCAGCTGATTCTCCGATACGTCGATCTCCTTCGCCATGCTGCAGTTGCCGAGCTCCGCCGGGATGCTCCCGGTTAGCGAGTTGGAGTAGATGTAGAGGTACTCGAGGCTCGCCAACTTTCCAAGCGAGGGCGGGATGGAGCCCTGTAGCTGGTTCTTGTAGAGGGCGAGCATGGTCAGGTTGGATAGCTGGCCCAGCTGCGGAGGGATACTCCCGGTGAGGCAGTTTTGCCAGAGGACCAAGCTTTGGAGGTTGCGCATGGAGCCAATCTGGGGAGGGATGGCGCCTGAGATGGAGTTTTGCGCGAGGCCCAGGAAGGTCATGCTGCTGCAGTTGCTGATCTCGGGAGGGATGGAGCCGGAGAAGCTGTTCTGACCGGCCCGGATGATCTCGAGGTTTTGGAGGCGGCCAAGGCTGGCGGGGATTGGGCCCGTGAGATTGTTGGTGTAGAGCACCAGCTGCTGCAACGAGGCGAGGCCTCCGAAAGAGTCGGGGATGTTGTCGGTGAGGAAATTGTTGTAGAGGAAGAGCTGGCGGAGGGACGCGAGAGATCCCAGCTCGGCCGGGATAGGACCCCCGAACGCGTTGCTGCTGAGGTCCAGGGTCTGGAGGCGCCTGCATCGCGACAGCTGCCAGGGGATGGATCCATGGAGCTTGTTCTTGGAGAGGACGAGCGTCTCGAGCCGGGTGAGGTTACCGATGGACGCTGGCAATGTCCCGGAGATGTTGTGAGCGTCAAGATCCAGCACCGCGACGCGGCTCGAGTTGCCGGCACAAGTGACCCCTTTCCAAGAACATACCGTGCCGTTGCCTGACCCACTGCTATACTTACTCGCACTCGCGGATGACCAGGACCACGACCGAAGAGCGTCGCCGGGGAGCACCCAGCTGCGCTTTACCTCTGCTAGAACTGCCGCATCATCCACTTCCGGATCGCTCACCACCAAAGTCAAAAACCCCACAACCAGGATGGTGGATAGCCAGCTTCTCATCCTCCTTGGGTGGACGATCGCCAGCAGCAGGAAGAAACGAGCACGACTCCCTACAACACCACATTCTGATCCCCCCGATCGATCATCACCGCCGGATCATGAGCTGCTAGCACAAAGGGGCTTTGAGAGGCTGTCCAGTTCTAGAATCCTCAATCCTCATCCTTCCCCTGCCACTGCTCTAAATTCCCAGCGGATCCAGAGGCTCCTTCCTGCATTGCCTGATACCCCTGGAACTAATATATACCAGCCAGCCTGAGCCACTACAAGATCGAGTGAAAACTCTTGCCTTGAGATCCTGGAGAGATGAAGAAAACAGAGGTGGGCGCAATCATTCCAGCGCCATAGCCAAGTCTAGCTAAAAGATTTACCAGCGATCTTCGAGAATCGTCCATCCTTCGCTATCCGTCCATCCCTTCCTCCGTTGTCACGCCAGAGATCTTCCTTTTCGAAACGACTGTGACAGACCTTTGCTTGTGGGCTTGTGCTCCACAAAGCGGAAAAAAAAGTAAAAAGAAGAAAGAAATTAAAGTTCAAATTGCGGGGCATATGGAGAGAATATGCTGCCACTTGGCGGTGACGTGGACGGTTGGCTCGTGACGTGTGTCCACTAACGTTGTTGAAATATTCGCCGGTTATGATCAAATTTGCTCGTGCCTGCTGTGACGTTATAACTGGTAGGAGGTCGGAATCAAAGCATACGAGATCGAGATCAGAGGAGAAGATGGAAGATGGAAGATGGAATCTCATGATTTATCCGCCAAATCATCTAAAAGTATCTGGTGAGGAAGAACCACCACACCCGCAACCGCGCGCGAAAATTCCTTTGATTCTGGGTGACGAGATTCCCTTGGATACCCCTGTGATTATTGGTGATGTCATGGATTTGCTAAGTCCTCGCACGTCGTGCGCAACGTTTTCCAAGCGCTGCCACATTATAATTTGTCTAGTGCTTTCCGGGTCAGCCGTGCCCATGTTCGTGAATCGTCTCCTACTTTTTTAACACACAGAAGATAAACCCCGGCTGGCTCAAACTTGTTTCCTGTCTGTGACAACTCTCTTCGGGCTTATCTAATGTTATTCCATGTCGATCTTATGTGTGGGCTCAATTTATATATGCCTTGTATTGGACGGATCGAGTGTGGTCCAGATAGGCTTTCAGTCAAATTTTGGCACCCACGATCGTTGATGCCGTGTTGTGGCCGTTTAGACGCTAGGTAGCTTGGTATGGCATTTCTTTATTGGTTGTTTTTCCACGTTTACTTCACCATTTCTTTTCTTTGAAATTGCAAGTGTGATGCCATGGCCAAAGTTGGAAACAGCAAGATCACGGGACAAATGAAAAATAATAATAATTTCTGCTCCGTTGCAGCAGCAACGTGGTTTTCTTTTTTTCTTATTTATTTAAAATTCAATTGAGAAAATAGTTTAACATTGGAATATTCTAATATGTGAAGTTATGAGCCTTATTATGATCTTCAAATGTAAGTTCTCTAGTGCCATGTTCATAGAAGAGAACAGAGACTTTCTGCTCTTAATTTGCAGCATTATACAGACTAGTTATTTTTTGTTACAATAGTTAAATGACAATTTTTTATCTCACATCAACTATTACATTGGCAACTCAATTTATTTTTTTATTGTATTTGATGACCCTAATAGGTGAAAGTGGCCACAGCCTTTTTAGCAAATGTCACCATCGGGAGAAGCTAACAAAATTAACCACCTTAGGCACCATCTTTTCCCCCAAAGCTCTCAGCTTATCACACTTAAAATGAAGCGTATAACCACACACTTGAGATTGTCAACCAGTGGGTTGATAAAGTGAAACTCTGCCAGCTCTATGACAGCCATCGGAGCCTTGTCCAGTGCTACGATCTGAAAAAGACGTCTCTTTGAATCAACAAAGAGCCATAAAGTTGTATGCTGTGAATGGATACCTTCTCTACCGACTGGCAACCTTCCCCAAGGCGATCGAGGAAGACATCATAGCCGGAATGAGGATCCCAACCAGCAGCCTATAGCAAAAGCCACTGGAAACTGATGACACCCTTGGCTCTGCAGTATTCGAAAGCAACCATCCAGCAGGCAAGTAGCAGCCCACATAAGCTCCAACGACTTCCTTGTTGCCACCTGTCCTGTCATCCAAGGCCAAAAAGCCCCGGAATCTGTCTACTGCCACAAACATGTCGTTGGATCTGCCGTTCAGTTCAGTGGACATGACGAAGTAGGGGCCATACTCCTTCTGTTTAAAAAAGGCCGCATAGCACTAAGCATAGCACTTACCACCAATAGATCGTATATGGACCTTGTCCCGGCTACTACACTGGTGTCTTGCAACTTTCACAATGCTGATGAGAGGCATTTCTCTATGAGCTGCGTGAAATCCTTCCACCTGAGATCAAACAGCAACATACTCGGTAGGTCTCTGAACACAGGTACAAATGTGATGCTCGTGTGCATCAACGGGAATGGGTATGTCAGCTCAAGGAAATTATCCATGAACATCATCTGTTCGCTGGACAGTGTGAGCACACTGGCCCAATCGATTGCAATAAGGTTCATTTAATCAATTCCAAATCCTCACAGAAAGCTTATTGCAGTCCACCAAAATTCTATGCATTCCAGCTAGAGATCACAAACTAGAGAAAGGAAAATGTCGTCAGAGAAGTTAAGCTCACCAGATATTACAACCAGACACCAACAGTGAGACGGGATATGCATGCAATGAACTAGAGAAAGAAAAATGTTGTTAGAGAAATTATGCGATTATAAACAGATGCCAACATCAACCAAAGCATACGTATTACAGAGCTGGGCAGTCACTTTGCTAGTCAGCCAATTTTACCACGAACAATACACCAAACGAAAAGAACGCCACACAGCCAGACATAGAAAATAAGTATCACCCGTTCAAACAAACAAAACACCATAAGTCAGAGACTACATGGAAGGACATCAAGTATAGAAGATCAAAATGAGGCTTTTCAACCAGCCACAGATACAGGCAGAAAACTGGGAGAGCCACAATGTAAACATGGCCTGTGTGATGCAGCATGAAACCAACAGGAGAGCAATAGATGTAACAATGACAAAAGATCAACTACAGATCCAAAGTGACCAACTCAGAATGCATGGCTAGCATCAACCAAGAGAGCTATAGCTTCAGCGCCAATCACAAATAGACGCATGGCACAAGGGTACCAGGGATGGGGACAACAACACCAGACTACATGAAAGCAAAGAGAGCAAAGAGTACACCAACAAACAATTACAAACCTCAAAATCGCAATCAGGCAGACTACAAAATAGTGGCCAATAGCCCAACAAGAGAACACTAACGAGGCCAGGAACAATCATAGCCACCACCAACCACACTTATCAAAGCAAATAGCACACAAAAGAGGAACATGAAGTGTGGTTCTCAATGTTGTATTACTCTGGCTGCCACACATCGAGTATAGACAGCTCTCAGGCCCAGAGCAAAAGACTCGAGACCGAAAAGAGATGCGTTCAATCTCTCATATACCATGCACAGAAAATGCTTACAGGATCAATGGAGCTTGTTCTCACAAACAGAGAAAAAAAAGGGATGAAAGGCCCACCACATGCCATAGCGAGAAACTAGAACCACAAACCAAAATCATGGCTATTATGTCAGCAGGCGAGCACAAATGGCACACTATGACATACTAACAATCCAACAGCATGAGAGCAAGATCACAATGTACTCAGATCTCATAGTACAAACGTCAACTTATAAACAAACCCCACAAGAGTATCAAGTAAATGAATGCTTACCTGGTGCAGCCTGAAGAGCGACTGCAGCACATAAAAAGTTGTCAATACAGTTTTTGATGTAGTTCAAAACTACATCAAAAAACACCAGAAAACACCAGTAAATAAGAGGTAAAAGGGATAGTAACAAAATAAAAAATAGCAAACAGCACACAACGACATAGCCAACCACAACACAACATCTTGTCGTAAACAACCGGAAAACACCTGAGTACAGGCTAATACAAAATCATCCAGCCCAACAAGCAAAGTTCACAAGGCCACAAACAAATGCCTGATGCCATAGCCACATTAAATCAAACAACACAATGGCCTAAAACAACTAAGAGCAGACTAGCCAAAACACAAGCCACGCTATAGCCACCAAAAAACAAATAGGAACAAATTCGCCCAAACTGACAAGACTGGCCTCTCCAAGCTCTATCTAGCCATACCAAGAAATCCGATCACATAAAAAAACTAAGATCCCCAAATTCATATTTAATCCAACCCCAAATCTAATCTATTTATAATTTGCTCTTACTCAAGAGATTGCGGAATAGCCAAATGCCAAAGAGGAAAGCTAGCTTACTTGAGTTTGCCCACGCAGCTCGATCACAATCTTTGGTTTTTGAGTTTCAAGTTTAGAGTTTTTGAGTGCCCTGCCCCACAATTTTCTTCTTGCTCGGGTGGTACTGGGTGTTGCCTGCACCGGGCCTCTACGAATACTCTTCTCTTCTGAAATGAATATGCATCGCTTCTTGTTGGGGCTTAGATTTTATTGTAGAGCCAGATCTTGAGCAGTGTATCTTGAGCCGGGAGCCCATAGACATAGAATTAGACAGTATTAATTCTCCTGGCTTGTCTATAGTTCAGATTGTGGTGCATTCTGGTTTCTATAAATCAATCCCAGAAACATTGTATCCCTTGATGTGATCCCTGTACAGTGTGTCTGAGAGACAAGCCAGGAGAGAATGTTTTCTAGTTTAGTGCATTTTCCAATCGTGAAACTTCCTGCAAGAAATCTTGGTGATCTGATCTCACAATTTCGTTGCTATTAGTTAGCAAGATGAATGGGCCAATGATAACTCATACATGTTCACATAACAAGGCATGAAATGGATCATTTGCAAAGGCATCTAGGATTTTCTTTATTCTTTTTACCATGATCACTCTTTTGCCGCCGAAGATGCCATTGGGGTCCGACACTGTGAGAGACTAGTGCCGCGGACAGCATCCTCCAGCCCCCACTCTGCTTGCCCAAACTACTCACCATCACCTCGACACCACCAATCAATTAAGGGATTGTTCAATTGAGTTGGATCTGATATCTTGTGTGTCTTCCATGATCTGTGTTTGTCTGGGTTGTTTCAGGCTATGGTATTCTTCTGTTGCTTGTTTGACCTGCGGCGCTCATTTGGGCGAGTTTGTTTCTATTTGGCCATGGCGTGGGTTATGTTTTGGCTATGGCATCTGTGCTTTGGGTTGTTTCAGGCTATGGCGCCGTGTGCTGTTTGATGAAGTGGCTATGGCATCAGGCTTTTGTTCGTGGCCGTTTGCTTGTTGGGCTGGATGTTTTTGTATCAGCCACGATTTTGTAGTCTGCCTGATTGCGATTGTGCTCATTGCTTTCATGTAGTCTGAAGTTTTCCGGTTGTTGTCCCTGCATGCGTCTATTTGTGTTTGGTGCGGCTCTGGTGTTTTTCTATGTAGTTGTGAACTGTACTGACAACTTTTTGTGTGCTGCAGTGCCCTCTGCGACAGCTCTTCAGGCTGCACCAGGTAAGCATCCATTCTTGTATACTCTTGTGGGTTTGTAAGTTGACGTTTGAGGTACGAGATCTGAGTATGTGTGTGATCTTGCTCTCGTGCTGTTGGATTCTTGGTATTCTGCGATCTTTTGGAACTGATTGAATGGACCTTATTGCAGTCGATTGGGCCAGTGTGGTCACACTATGTTGGCTATGTTGCTCACTCCTGTTCTTGTCTGAAACAGAAACAAAAACAACCATAACAGGATCAGTCCTGTTACAGGCGTGTGATACTTCCATCTCCACGAAATCGCGGTTCATATCTCGGTTGGCTCCTCACGAGTCGGGTTATAAGGCGAAATTTCCCTCGGCCCGGACACTCATGTGCGCGCTTAGTAACCTGCCATGCCTTCTATGGGAAGGCGTAGGAGATGGACTTGTGGAGCTCGACAATCGGTTTGCGCAGAGGTTGTCAGAACGTCAAGTCACCGTGCTATTGGCTCCCAGCGGTTCAGGAAAAACGAGAATGTTAATCGAACTTGCCTGCAGTAGATTCACGTTGTTTCTCACGGGTAAGCGTCCGATGGTTGGATTTGGAGGAGGATCGGATGATGTAGATAGGGTTGCCAGGTGGATGGAGACTCGGTTGCCCGGAGGTGAACACGATCTCGATCCGAATCATGCAGTGGTGCGGTTTGGTGTTGGGATTTTGATTCTTGTCCGGTTGAAATATTTGAAGTTGCTGAAAGCGCTGAAACCTGGGCTTCATCCTCGTGATTGGGCTTTTTTCCAGTTGGAGTACCCGGCAGTTGATGATGTCTTCCATGCTGCTGTTGAAGCCTTGATCGATTGTGTTCCAGTGGATCAGCAACTGCCTTCGGATCAGCTAAAGGAGGTTATAAGGAATCTTGTAGATGACATTGGCTGGAAGGAGGGGGTGGTTGTCCTTGATGAGGCTCACATGCTGCTTCATTGTATGAAAGGTCGATTCAAGTCTGAACTCACTCCTACGAAAGGGCAGCCGTTGTTGAACCCCATGTTACTGGCTCTGAAGTCGTACGGTTTCTTGAAGAGCTGCTTGTTTGTTGCGGGCACCGGCACGGGTATGCTTAAGGTTCGGGAAAGACTTCTGGGAGGGACAGTGAAGCCTTTCGATGTAACCGAAATTTATAGCTTACCTGGCTTTGACGACACCAACATTCCAGCCTTTCTCCAACGGTTTATAGATATCAGCAGGCTGGACATGCCCGCGATTACTTCCATGTACACTGGAAGAAGGCGACTTTTGAGCACGGCGATTGAGAAGTACGTTGTGCAGGACAAACCACCAGAGGATTGGTTCCAAGTTTTCTTCTTGGAGTTGATCAACAAGACTGGGGTGGAGCCTGGACTTTTTCGGTCTTTAAGGGATGAAGCAGAGCGGGTGTGGGATGATCCAGAGACGGCACAAATGATTGAGGACATTCTGTTCACGTATTATCTTACAGGTATGTGTCGCTGATTCTTTACAGATATATTCCTCATGCTGGTTTTTTCCAGGTTTTGGTCATGTTATTGTGCAGCAGAAGAGGAGTGTCATGACCTTAGTTGATTGTGGCTTTGCAACACTGCTTGAGAGTGACGCCAGTGCCGGACCTTTTGCACCGATTATTCCACACATAAGAGGGGTGAGGGGTGATGAAGCCGGACCTGGTTCTTCAGGTCCGGCTGACGTGCGATACGTGATCCTTCAAGAGCTGATGATTGCAGAAGCACTCTGGGACCATATGCCTGCTGGTACAGTAATGGAGCGAGTCATCAGCACAGCTGCAAACGCATCAGCCTTTGGCATTACCTTTGAGCGGTTTGCATGCATCATTGGGGAGGCATTTGACAACAAGCTACCAGCTGAGGTTTTGGGTTTGCAGGAAACAGATGTGGTCTACAAGGAGGAGTTTGAAGTTGTAAAGCCAAGAGGGCACTCGGGGGTGCTGGTTCAGGAGATTCGGACTGAAGAACAGTTGAACCTGTGGCTTGAAGCTGTTGAGGCTGGTGCATCGTTTGCTACTTATGCATGGCTTGGATCATTCCAAGAAGGTGGACTAGATGGGATGTTTCTTCTCAGAAGCAAAAAGTCGCACAAGATGATGCCTGTGTTTCTAGAGTTCAGGACCGGATCTGGGCTGGGTGTGACTCAAGCTTTTTCTTCACTCGACATCATGAAGATTGACAAGATGCTGCATTCAGGAGGAGCCTCTCGAAAACTAAAACAGTGGTGCTGGACTGGCAATCCTAGGCTGGTTGTTTCACCGAACCCACATCCAAAGGTAGGAAAGGTGGCCTTAGGAGATGTGAGGCGGAGTGGGCGAGCGAGAAAGGGGCGCAAAGAAATCCCCCTGGTAAGGCATATTTCATTTGATCTTTGACATGTTTATTTTCTCCTTCAGGTTTCACCTCTATCGGCTGTTTGGGCTGGTCGGAAACTTCGGGGGATCGTCAACCAGGAATTGCTGGATGCTGTGGAAGAGGTGAAGGAAGGTTTGCAGAAACGGAAAAGGGGGTGAAGCGCTTTGCTACGTCTTCGGGCCACTCACAGTTCTCCCCTGTGTCCTTGATCTTCTGTTTTGGGAAGGGTTTGAAGAGTTTTTCAGGGACCACATCAATGAATCTCACTTTGTGAAACCGTTGCAGCAAGTCTTCCACATAATCCATGATTGCTGCCTTATGGTTTCCGCTTCCCATGCTATTTGCGTGCTAAACCATAGGTTTTAACTTATAGAACACGTTTCTAGAATATTCAGAGTATTATAGTTTTAAATTTATAGAAGTTCCTAGAATATTCAGAGTGTATATTATGAACTTCATAGAGTTTGCAAGCAAGAACGTAGGTGCACTGCAACTATTGTGTGGAGTAATTGGTGGTGGTGGTGTTTGTCAAAGAGTGGTTGGTTGATACCACCTGGCAAATGAAGAATAGCTCGCCCTTTACTTCTATCTTTTGCTTTTTGTTTGGGGAATAACGTCCACCGCTTAGCAAGTAAAAACACACATATAATTAAGTAAAACACACATACAAATAAGCAAGTTTTACCTTTGTAAGTGTTAAAACATGCCTGATCCAAGTCTTGTTTATGAGGAAGGACAGCTCTTAATAAACCATTCTCTGAAGCCAAGGTTTGGAGCCTCTCCAAACCTGCATCCTCAATTTTCTTTCCTTCCAAACTGAGTAGATCAGTAGAATCTAACGCATCAGTAATCCCACCTTGAGTGCCAGCAGGCCTTTTTTACTGCATTTGTAACACACAAGGGATGAGCCGACTCTTCTGCCCAGAGTACCCAAGAAAAAGATGGCATCTGGTCCGTTACCTGTCGTCAATATATTTTTTCGAAGTGTAGCACCTGCTGTGGTGAACATGCTTTTCCATGCAGATTGTCACCTCCATGTCTACAAGAGTGCATGGTCTCTCAAGCTTTGCAGTCTCAAAGTAGATGCCGGGAACTTTGAAAGTGTCATTGCGTAACAGCACCTTGTTCTCTTGGTGAAGGAACTGCCTCACAAACTCTGCTGGCACCTTCCCATCTAGTTCCTGAGCTTCCCCAAAAGCAGCCAGCTTCTCTAAGCCCAGACCGATCTTTGAGTGATCACCTTGTCCTTTGCTGGTAAGCATGTCTTGACAGGAGTCCGAGTCGGTCATAAAATGGTGATAGAGCACTCTGAGTACAGCAGGTTCCTCAAGCCTTATCCAGCGTTCTTTGCGGCCTGAGAAGAAGTCATCAATGTTCTTGAGTTCCAATTGGCTTTTATTCGTCAACCAGGCTAAACCATATTCCACCAACTGAAGCGATGGGTCCTTGATGCTGATGAGAGTCGAAGAAGATCCAGAAATTTCGTGGTAAAGTATCACCTTCAACTCTTGCATGGCAGCTCAGGTAACACTGACGCCTGCTCCGAGAGAATCCTGAGTGCAAATTCTTTCGAAGAACTCGACATTCCGGTCAATATTCTCTTAAGGTCAGATCGTTAAAAAATTGCATAACATGTTAGTCTTTGACTTGAAAATTCAAAAGCGGGGGTGGATTCTTCTCTTTAGGTCAGATCGTTAAAAAATTGAGCTGTTCGTAAATGGAGGACTTTGATCATCCATGAGCAAAAATTTCTAAAGATCCTACAGGTAAGTAGGTATTTTTTATTGTGTTCATGAGATCTCTTATATTCTACATTCATAGGCCACCATGCTCTCATAAAATGCGAATGGTGCTTGGAAGCTCATAAAGACAATCAGTTCACTCAATCAGTTCCAGCTCCATGCACTGAATGTCTATGCAAAGTCCAACAGTCACAAGGAGGCCAAGCAAATTTGCAAAGCCAATAAGCTTAGAAGGGAGCTGCAAAGAGGTTCCATGGATGATGCACTAGACCGACAGAGAGATCAACATGAAGAGCGAATAGTGCAAGTGATGAAGCTTGTCCATCATCTCATTTTGGCAAATCTTCCGCTTAACTTAATCGGATCTGAAGTTCAGAACTACATTTACCAAGGAGCACCAAATTTCCCTCAAGCTGGAGACTACTCAGCTTGTGTGAATCCAGTCTCAGCTCGTGAGTTTCTTCAAGCGACTAAGTTTGTGGGGAGCAGAAGCTAGTTTCAGAGATTCAAGCCAGCCCATTCTTCTCAGGCTAGTGGATGAGAACACTGATCACACGTCCAAACAGCACCTGATTGTGTGCATCATCTATCTGCGTGATGGAAAGGAGTTCGTCAAACTGATTCCAGTCCATGATGGTACATCAAATTCTATTTTCACAGCTCTCCAGTCTTTGCTATTCACCACTATGGAACTAGACTAGTTGCTTTCTGGTCAGATGGTGCTTCAAGCATGGTTGGCCGTCACGCAGGTGTGCTTCAGAGGCTCAGAGAGTCACATCGAGAGTCACTTGCGCTTTTGCAAGTTTTCCGTGGATCTTCTCTGCAATCAACAAGTTAGCTAGGAATATCAGGACCTGGCTTGGGAAAAGCTCTCTGCGCCACAAGGAGTTAAAGGAGCTTCAAGCCTCGTACAACTTCAAGCATGTGAACAATGAAGATGCTCTCTCTTCATGACGTTCGCTGGTTATACCTAGGGGAAGTGATGGATCGGCTTGTTGTTGTCATGCTTTCATGGAGCAGTGGAAAGCACTTGACAAAGCAAGGTAGTAAGCTTACAACGTTTCAGATCCGATTCTTCTTAAATCTCATTGCTTGTGTCCTCCACGAGGAACTAAATTTTCGATGGCTGTTTGTTCAACAATCTCAGACTACTTGCATAGTACCATAGCAAAACTCAAGGTATACAAACAAGAATCCACTAGACTTCGGTTCTGCATGAAGTAAGAGGTTTTTGGAAGAGCAAATGCTAGATTACATTGCAAGGCTTTTTTCGGAAGAGCAAATGCTAAATTACATTGCAGATTTACAAAGCCTTTTTACAAATCCAATGAAGGCATTCATTAAATAATGGAGTAATCAATTGTTGATCCAAAGATTAACATTGCGCGTGAAAAGAGGAGAAAAGAAGAAACCCTATGAAAACTTTGAAGATTTAGACATGACAAATGTGAAAATGTATCAGCCCAAACCCTTGATGGAGTTGGATGTAAACCAAATTTCTGGATCAATTCAAAAAGCTTAACGACAAGTTGCGCGGTGTGCCGTAAAACGCGGTTCCGCTCAATTCGTTAGATTCTATCTGCCCCAAAAGAGGCAAACAAAACTTGTAGCAGCTACCAATGCGCGCACCTTGGCTATGTTCTGCACCATGCCCTAAGTCCATGACGACACAACCAAGGGAGCTGCAGGCAGCTAGCTTCGTTTACAGATTTGGAGTGAACTTTGGGTAATTGCCTGCAATATGGACGAGGGTCATGGTTCACACGCACCTGCGGGCAGCGATGGCGGATCATCCTCCATGTCTCCGAGTATGGGTCACGTCGCTGGATTCGAAGCTCAATTAATGCCGATGCAAAGCAGTTTTTACTGGGGTAAGGACATGACGCTCTTGTTTTCGAGCTGGGTAACAAGAAATCCGGTTCACTACGCACTCGTTGTCCTGGCTGTTTTTATCTTTGCAATCGCCCACCAGTTTCTGGGATACATCCACAAGCTCTACAACGGAAGCAGCAGCAGTGGCAGCAGCAAACACAAACACGCATGGCTCGAGATGTTGGTGGGGGTGGTTTTGTATGGCGCCCACACAACCACGGGCTACTTGCTCATGCTCATCGTCATGAGCTTCAACGGAGGTGTCTTCGTTGCCGTCATATCTGGGCTGTGCCTGGGATTCTTGATATTCCAAGCCATTGAGAGGGCTATGAATGTGAATGGTATTGGTGCAGAGTAAGATAATATATTCAAAACAAATCATTCTAAGTTATCATAGGATGAAGTCCACTCACGGTTGTGTAGAGCAAGTGTCGTGTTGGTGTTGGTGATCAGCGGCAGTGGTTTTGTTCGATCCAAGCTTGAATGGAAAGACGAGGATGCCCAAGCAAAGCCCCAAGACAACAGCGATAAACACCCCCACGTTGAAGCTCATGACAATGAGCATGAGCAAGTAACTGGTGGAAACATAGGCAGCGTACAAGACGAGGGCGATGGCTGCCTGGCCGCGGCCTGAAATGGAGTAGAACATGTCGCTGCGGCCCCTGAGATAGCACAGAAACTGGTGGAGAATCGCAAAGCAGACGACGGCCAAGAGCGTTAGAGAGTACTCGACCCAGTTGCTGGTGGTCCAGCCCGAGAACAAAAGCGTTACATTCTTGCTCCAGATGAAGCTCATCTGCATCATCATCATATTATGCATCCCCATCCCCGTCCCCATCCCCATGGAAGGATTCGAGGGCGCTGCTGCCTGATCATGGTCGTGACCACCGTGATCCATATCCATCTTCGATCGATCCGCCAATCAATTCCCTTCGAGGGAGGAAGAGCCGTGAAGAGGCTTTTGGTCGGCCTAAAACGCTGCCACTTAAACAGCCATGCATTCCTGCCCAAGTACAAGTACTGCACAGCAATTTAGTACTAGCATACAAATTCAACGTTGTTTTTGAGGACGTACTTTAGTTTTTTGTGAAATGGAATGTGTGATCTCATCTGAGCCCCACATCTACACGTACATTCCGGTTGGCTGCTTTACCAGTATAGCGCCATGGATTAATCGCCAGCTAGCAGCTAGGTCGAATCGAAGGCGCTGCGCTTTGCGTTGGACAGTTGGACTTGGAAGAAAGAAAGAACGATGTTACTTAGGTGAGAGCGTGCGTCCATTCCACTACCTAGTGCTTGTAATCAAGGGGAGCATCATATCGAAATATCTGGTCATGGAGGCACTGTCGTCGAGGGCGCTGGTGCTCGAGCACCACCATGTCAATCACAATGTCTTGCTGTGGCAACAACGGCCATGGAGGGCGCCTCAATCGGCGGCCCTGCTATCCGTGGCGCACTCGGCATTGAGGCGCACAAAAGCCAGGCTATGGCGATGGCCATCGTCGTCGTGCCGGGTGAGTAACTTGTTTTGCTGCTTACAAGACTTCATAGATTTGATCTCAACTCTAGAGACGACACAATTGGACAGGATTTGCTTGTCGCAGCTGCCACCAGTGCGTCTTGCTTGGCCTCCGCTTCTTCTTCTTCTTCCACAGCCGAGTTTGGTGACCAAAACCACCAAAGCCATGATGCAGCAGCGCCGCCATCGCAGCGGCAATCGGAGCTAGGAGAGAGTGCTGCCGACCTGCAAACTTCGAAGGAGTCGCAAACTGCCCCGCAAAAGATGTGAGTCTCCTCGACTTTTGTTTGTGGAGCTCTAAGCTCTGAAATGCATGCACAGGGTGTAACGATTATATGATGTCTCGGCACTGGCAGGCCGACCAGAAACCTTCAAGCCGCGGGGATCATCTCGGGAATCACACTCGTGGGAACAATAGCCGCCGTTTCCTTCACGCTCGCCAGCGGAGGTCCGGCCGCGCTTGCCGCAGCGATCTCCAAGTCGGGATTCTATGCTGCGTTTGCGTTGATTTTTGTGTCGGAGATTGGCGATAAGGCAAGTTTTCTTCTTTCGGGTGCGCAGGATTCTGAGCTGGTTGCGTTGTGCACAGACGTTCTTCATCGCCGCATTGCTGGCCATGAGACACTCTCGAGGACTGGTGAGTTTAATTGATCAGAGAGTGTTTGTATGATATGATTGAGTGAGAACTTGTATGTGATCGATCAGGTGCTGCTGGGCTCAATGGGTGCGCTTAGCCTCATGACCGTCATCTCGGTTGTCATCGGGAGGCTTTTCCAACGCGTGCCGGCACAACTACAGACTTGTAAGCCTCTTCTCTCGCTCTCTCGTGTTTATGTTTTGGATTTCATTCGCGAGTGATCCCGGCCAGCTTTGCCAATTGGTGAGTATGCCGCTGTGGCGCTCCTCATCCTCTTTGGCCTGAAAGCAATCAAAGAGGCGTGGGAGCTACCGTCAGCCCCCGCTGATGCACCGGATGCGGCAGCTGACTCGGGCGAGCTTGCAGAAGCGGAACAAGTTGTCAAGCAAGTCCAGGTGTGTAAACTTCCTCTCGGCTCTCTGGGATTCTAACCTTTCAACTCGGAGTAGTGCAGGCTGACAAGAAGTTGAGCACTCCGCTGACAATACTCGGAGAAACATTCAGCCTGGTCTTCCTAGCCGTGAGTTTTGGTTTCTCTGATTAAGCTCCCCCGGGACTTACGTGCATGCATGTCTCAGGAATGGGGGGATCGATCGATGCTGGCCACAGTCGCCCTGGGTGCCGCTCAAGTAAGTGTGGCGTGATCTTCATGTACTCAAAAGTGTTTGCTTGCTTGCACAACAGTCTCCGTGGGGCGTGGCGTCGGGCGCAATCCTGGGACATACGCTCGCAACGTTGCTGGCTGTGCTTGGCGGCGCACTTCTAGCTCGATATATCTCCGAGAAAGTGGTACGTTTTTGGTGTGGCTAGACGAAGATCTCAGCTCACTAGCGTGTGGGCTTGTGACACACCAGGTTGGCTACACGGGCGGAGTCCTCTTTCTTGTGTTTGCGGCCGCGACTCTGCTGGGAGCATTCTAGCCCGAAAGTTTTGTTTTGTACTCCCTTTCTCCCTTTGAATCACAATGAGAATTATTTAGGGCTCATCAGTCACTGTTTCTAGGGCGCAGCAAAGGCAGATCCATTGTGGAGGTACTCGAGATGAGTAGAAGCAGTGATGTGGGAGCTCGATCTCCTCCTCTTCCCTTCAATCCATACCAGCAGCAGCAGCAGCGCTATCCCCCAATGGCGCCACCAGCTGCTGATTTCCCACCACCTCAATTCTTTGCCAGGCCGCCGCTCTCCAATCCTCCTCTAGATCCTACTCCGCCGCCACCACCACCACAGCAGCTCTATTCCAGGCCGCCATCCTCGATGCTCTCCACTCCACCTCCTCCGATCCCATCCAAGGCACCGCCCTTCGCATCGCCTCCTCCATTTGCAGCGCCCCACCAATTCCAAGGACTCCAAGGACCTCCTCCTTCTCATCCTCCTCCTCCTCCTCCCCAGGCTCCCTACTTTGGTGGATCACCAGCGTACCAGCAGCAGCAGCAGCAGCCATTGCCACCGCCATCCCAGGGATACTTCGCAGGGATAGCGCCACCACTTCCTGGCGTTGCTGCTCCTCCAGGCCATGACATTGCCGACGAGTTCGAGTCTCTATCCATCTCATCAGCTCCTGGAACTGCTGCCGACGTCAAAGTAGAAGCGCTTCCCAGGCCTCCTCCGGATTCGTGTGACACCTTTGCGCAACCGGCTTGGTCGAATTGTCACCCGAGGTACTTTGAGCTCACCACCAACGCCATCCCGGCATCACACTCGCTTGCTGCTCGCTGGCACCTTCCCCTGGGAGCTGTGATTCATCCACTCGCCGAGGCACCTCCCGAGGTAATAGACAAAGTTTCCTTTTTTTCTCTCTCTTGCTCTCTCTTTCTCTCGCTCTCTCATTCTCCTTTCTCTCGTCTCTAACCAACGTAGAAGCTGTGCAAAACTAGGAACAAGTGCCCGTCGTTGATTTTGGAACGTCTGGTATTGTGAGGTGCCGCAGGTGCCGGACTTACATCAACCCGTATGACAAGTTTACTGATGGCGGCAAGTATTTCCGCTGTGCGATATGCAACCTTCTCAACGACGGTAAAGCAGGCGTTTCATTCTCACAAAGGAATCTCATGTTGTTGCTTGTGTTTCCAGTGCCCATGGACTACGTGTGTGCCCTGGATGAACAAGGAAAAAGGAGGGATGCTATGGATCGGCCAGAGCTCAGTCAGGGCAGTGTTGACTTCGTTGCCCCGATGGAGTATATGGTCCGTCCACCAATGCCCCCGGTCTACTTTTTCCTGATTGATGTGTCGGTCGCGGCAGTGAGATCGGGCATTCTACAGGTATTATACCTTGCAGCAGCACAGACTATTTACCAAATCCTTCTTCTCCAGATCGCTGCCGATACAATCAAATCTTGTCTTGACAAGCTTCCAGGCTACCCGAGGACTCAAATAGGCTTTTTGACGTTCGATAGTACTCTTCATTTCTACAGTCTCAAGGTAAGCACGTTTCTGTGGCGTCTTTGTTAGTTTAACTTGGTTTTGCAGTCTTCGCTTACTCAACCTCAAATGGTGGTTTTGGCACAAGTGGACGACCCGTTTTTACCAATGCCCGACGACCTTCTCGTCAACTTATCTGAATCTCGCCTTGTAGTTGAAGCTCTGCTGGATAGTTTGCCATCTATTTTTGCCAACAATGAAAACGTGGAGTCTGCCCTTGGTCCTGCTCTGGAGGCTACCACATCGATAATGGTTCGCCCCTTTGATTTTGTTGTCTATTGCTAACTAGGCCGATGGTATCTGTCAGAGTGAAATTGGAGGAAAGCTGCTTATCTTTCAGAGCACGCTGCCCTCTCTTGGCGTTGGCCGCCTAAAGCTCAGAGGACAAGAAGCTCATGTCTATCAAACGGACCGCGAGCCCGCTTTGCGGGTGGCAGAGGACTCGTTTTACAAGCAAATGGCGGCCAAGTGCTCCAAGCTGCAAATCGGTGTGAATGTGTATGCATTCTCGGAGAAGTACACCGATGTGGCGTCCTTGGGTAAAAACGTTGTCTTGTCTGGTTGCTCAACCATAAGTCGTACTTGTTCCACAGGTACTCTTGCAAAGTACACCGGCGGTCAGGTTTGCTATTACCCGGGATTCCACGCAGCCGTCGACGGAGAGAAGCTGACGTACGATCTCTCAAGGGACTTGACGAGAGAAACGGCTTGGGAAGCCGTGATGCGGATTCGTTGTGGAAAAGGTAATGCCTTATGTCGCTGTTTTACATGGTCTCATCTTGGTTTTGCTACAGGAATAAAGTATTCCGTGTTTCATGGCCACTTCATGCTCCGGAGCTCCGACTTGCTAGCTCTTCCGGCCGTGGACTGTGACAAGGCCTTCTCGGTGCAGTTTGCTTTGGAAGACACTTTGCTGACGTCCCAGCTGGCATACTTTCAAGTCGCTCTGCTGTAAGCTCGAATCTCTTGTGCGTGTGATATCATACTCAGCTCCTTTGGTGCTTTACAGGTACACGTCGTCCTCGGGAGAACGGCGAATAAGAGTGCACACGGCTGCCGTTCCAATTGTGCAGGAGCTGAGCGTCATGTATAAAGAGGCGAACATTGGTGCTGTTGTTGGGGTGCTCAGCAGACTTGGTAAGCGCCGGCATACGTTTCGAGCTAAAACAATGTGCTGTTTTGTTGCAGCCGTGGAGAAATCACTGAATGATAAGCTGGAGAATGCTCGGCAATACGTGCATGTAAAGATGGTGAATGCGCTGCGGGAGTACAAGAACATGTATGCGGTGAAGCATTCACTCATTGGCCGCATCATCTTCCCCGAGTCACTCAAGCTACTGCCTCTCTACGTGCTGGCCTTGTCCAAGTCCTTGCCTTTGCGAGGTGGATTCATGGATGCTACACCTGACGAGCGCTCCGCTGCTGGATACCAGATGATGACAATGTCCCGACCCTCCCTCTTGAAACTTCTCTACCCCGCGCTGATTCGGCTCGACGAGTATCTCCTACAGGTAATGAGTTGCGTTGATTGGATCGCCAAGAATGAGACAATTGTTTATGCGCAGGGAAGCCGAGGTGGAGGTGTGGACAGTCCACCGCAGCTGCCACTGACGGCCGAAGTTTTGGATCCCCGCGGTGCGTTCGTCACCTCGGACGGCCAGCGCTTTGTACTGTGGCTGGGAAACGTGCTCCAACCCGAGTTCGTTGCTGCGATCCTTGGGCCGCAGGTAGCTCACAGCTCCGACCTGAGAAAGGTGCGCGCGTGTGCTTTTGTTGCTTGCTCTTGGAGCCATATTGACATGATGCTTGTTTCTTCCATACTCCAGGTCCCGGTTGTGGAGCAAGACAACGACTTGTCGAAACGCTTCCATGCGCTGCTTGCAAAGTTGCGCAAGCAAAACCGGTGGTGCCACCAACAGTGCGTGGTGGTGCGGCAGGGGGAGTCGGGCCGGGAGCTCCAGCTCGTTCACTCCAACATGGTGGAGGACCGTGGCGCTGGATTTCCTTCCTACATGGAGTGGATGGTCCAGATCCACAGGCAAGTCCAGCAGAAGATCTAAAGTAACAAAACACTAAGTTAAAAGCTTTGCGTCCATTCAAGAAAAAGCGAGCGAGACTTTCAAGTGTAAAGAATATCCACGCGGATGCTCCATGTATTCGAATATCCGTAGATGCCCGGCGGATATTCTCGGCCTTTTGGTTGAAAGAAACGACTGCCCTAGCGAACAAGGACGGAGGTTTATCATTTTCCGCGCACCAAATCTGTGAGAGAGCGTTGTTTAGATCGATCGGGAATGGTGGCGCGCTGCATTGGTCCCTGTAGTGACAGCTAGATCACAAGTAGCTGTGTGTAGCTCTAGAGCAGCAGTATGAAATTCGGGAAGCGGTTAGCTAGCCAGATGGAGGAGACGCTACCCGAGTGGAGGGACAAGTTCCTGTCCTACAAGCAGCTCAAGAAGCGTCTCAAGCTCATATCGGCGCCGGATTGCTTCACCCAGGCGGCGTTTGAATCCGGCGGTACCAGCCCCGTTCGGGAGGAGAGCGGGACATCTGCCGTGGATGTTGCCGTGGACGAGCTCAAGAGATCCGGAGGCGCTGCTGTTGCTGCCATCAAGAGCGAAGGCCTTGAACACGCGGAGGAGCAGCCACAGCAGCAGCAGCAGCAGCAACAAGAAGAGTCCGAGTTCACAAGCTTGCTGGAAGTGGAGCTGGACAAGTTCAACACCTTCTTCATGGAGAAGGAGGAGGAGTATGTGATCCGGCTACAGGCAAGTCTCTCTTTCTTCTCGTCCAAGGATACCTTCATCTTGCTTATGCTTGCCGTGGTCGCTTCCGAGCAGGAGTTGAAAGATCGCATCGAGAAGCTCAAGTCCAAGCCTGACGTGACGGGCCTCGATCTGGAACAGCACGAGGAGCTCATCCAGATAAGGAAGGACATTGTTACGTTCCATGGCGAGATGGTGCTGCTCTTTAACTACAGCTCGCTCAACTACACAGGTAAATCCATTCATACGCGAGTGACACTTGTAACACTTGCATGGACACTATAGGCCTGGTGAAGATCCTGAAAAAGTATGACAAGCGCACGGGGATGTCTCTCCGCTTGCCCTTCATCCAGGGGGTGCTGCAACAGCCCTTTTTCACGACGGAGCTTCTGTCCAAGTTGGTGGAGGAGTGCGAGAGAAATCTGCAAAGCATCTTCCCAGCAGACGAACTCGCGGCCATTACCAAGGCTCCCGAGCAGCCGGAGCTCACAACCGACGCCGAGGAATGCGATCCGGAGCAAGTGGAGGGCATCTACAGGAGCACCATGGCTGCGCTGCAAACCATCAAGGACTTGCGCAAGGGAAGTTCCACCTACAGCGCCTTGTCCTTGCCACCGCTCGGCAACAGCGACTCGTGACATAGACACATATATATCATATGATACTCTCCACACCTTGTGTGTGTGTGTGTGTATAACCATCTTACAATGTCGTCTAATCTAGAGCAAGTTCTCAAAAGCCACAGAGTGTCTCTCGGAGCCACTCAGCATGTAGCATCCATGAACTTCTGCAAAGCACCGCCCAACGTAGTAACACTCGCAGCTCACCATGTCTCCAACCTTGCAAGTCACGTTCCTGATGACAGGAATGGGGCACGGCGGCGGGCTTTGGCAAACTGGAACATATAGACTCAGTCACAAACCATGATCATTCCAGGAAAAACGATGACTTACACTCGGTAGATTGCAACAATTGCCTGCTCGTGGGAGCCTGCGCCAAGCGTGGAATCAGCGACAAGGAAATATATTATTCACTTCTAGTTACCTGTGCTGGATCGAGCTTACAGATTCTGCGTCCATGCTTGATCGTGAGCTTGCGATTTTTACTCACGCTTACTTAACCTGTCAACCCTGAGCAGCACAGTCCTACCAGATTTGCCAGCACTGCCATTGCCACCCGCAGCAGTGCCATAACTCTAGATTGATTGAGTGCCCAATGTGGTTTCAATGCGGCCGAGTTTTTCAAGCATACTCGACCCCCCGGGTGCCTTGTGGAAGCGCAAACACCGTGCTCTTGACCTCTCAATCAGGCGTGGAGGCGAGTCCCGCGTATCTTTGGCCACTCACAGGCATTCTTCACTCCACCTGGGAAACATGATATCCAAGAATCGAGTGAAATTATATTACCTCACGAATGAATGGTTTTAAACAGAGAGCAGTAGAAGCTAGGCTACAACATTCTCGTTCTTTCTTTTCGATGTCTCAGACACTAGGAATGCCTCGCCCACATTTGCTGTGATTCCAATCTACCATGAAGTTGTATATAGTCTAGTAGAGTAGAACACCACGAGACGAAAGAAGTGACGATGCCACAGCAATCTCTTTGATGTTTACAAGCCAAGAGCACCAAGAGGTGTCAAGCCCTGTCCCGCCTCAAAGTAGAAGATAAGCATGGCGACCATGGCGAGTCTGGCGTGCTTGATCTCGGCAAGCTGAAGCCTCTGGAGCTTGTCAAAGTCGGGAACGTAGTCCCCGCCCTTCATGCTCCCGGCTAGCCGCAGCGGATCAAAGAACTTGCCGCCGGGATAGCCTTGCAGCCCGGTCGAGTTTGCAAAGTTGACGGCCGTTCGCGACCAGGGCGTTGCCCACTCCACCGCCTGCGTGTTGGGCTCGAAGAAATCCACGTACCTCTTGGACTCCACCCAGCCCATGAGCAGGAGCTGCGTCCCCAGCAGGCTGCCAAACGAGAAGGGGGCCACGGCACCCGGCGCAGCACCAGCCTCGAACCATGGGATTCCAGACCACGCCTGACCCACGAAGATGCCCACCACCGCCGCCATCGCCCACCTCCCGTGGATGAGCTCCGCTTCTCTGTACCACTTGAGGAAGGCCGGGTCCTTGCCCAGCCCAAGGGGATCAAAACCATAGTCGCCAGGGAGCCTGCATTCATCATTCCTCAATACGAGACTAGAAAAGGATAACAAGACTTACGATCCATCCAGCCACTCGGGATCCACCAGGTCGCCACCTCCTCTCACCCCGGGAAGCCACGACTTCTTGCCGGATGCCGGCTTGGCGGATATCTTCCTGGTGGCCATCGCCATGACTCGGGCTCCATTGCTGGGGCAGTGCGACAGGAGGGCGTTGCTCCCGCTCACAAACGAGGAGCTCGCGAGCTGCGAAATTGCGGCGCTGGCTGCGCTTGTGCTTGCCACGGCCATCTCTCCTCTCACCTCTCTCCTCGGCTCTCCTAGCTTCGCAGGATTCTGATCGAAAAAAAGTAGGAAAAAAATGTGTGGTAGATAGAGGCCCCGGATCTGGTTAGCCAATGGGACGCATTCGCGGCAAAATACCAGCCAATGGCTGCCGAGGAAACGGATTAAGCGTTGGAGGCTGGGCTTGAACCTTGGACCAGCCACTTGATTTTGCGCTGTTTAGCAAGCATCTCCATTGGAAGCCGTCCGGCTCAAATGGCATGCTTTGTATCAAATCCTTGGCGTCTTGGACATGCCCGGCACGCCCCAGCATGTCAACCAGGCAGCAGTAGTGCTCTCTCGTGGCCGCAATCCCGCAATCGCACACCATCACGTCGAAGCAGCGCCTTCCCGTGGTGGACTTCCCAGTGTGGCTGCAAGCAATGAACACGGAGACGAAGCACCCTTGATCCACAGCCATGCCGGCCGCCATCATCTCGTGAAGCACACGAAACGCTCCACTGGGCTGTCCATTGCGGGCATAAGCCGAGAGTGTCGCACTCCATGATGCAGCATTGCATTGAGGCATGGAATCAAACACACGGCGTGCTGTCTCCACTTGCCCGTTCTGGGCATGTGCAGCTAAGATAGAGTTCCACGACACCACGTCCCTGTGGGGCATACTGCCGAACAGGGAAACAGCCTCCGCTAAATACCCACCCTGAAAGAAAGCAGCCAACATTGCGTTCCAAGCCACCGCATCCCTCTGTGGCATTGTGTCAAACGTGAACTTTGCTGCCTCTACAAGACTTCTGGAACCATATGCTGCAAGCATGGTTGTCCACGATACCATGTCCCTCTCCGGCATCCCATGACTAAACAAGAGCTCAACAATGGTCACTCGTCGAGCTGCTGCCGCTCGCAACATCAACATTGCATTGAGTGATACCAAATTTGTCACTGGCATCTCCTCGAATAAGCGCTCGGCAGAGTCAACATTCCCCGCCTGGGCGTAAGCTACTAGCATGGCAGTCCACGACACCACGTCTCGCTGAGGCATCATATCGAACACCTTCCTGGCTTGTGAAATATCACCACTTTGGCTATATGTCACCAGTAGTGTCGTCCACGACACAAGATCCCTCTCGGGCATCTGCGGGAAGAGGATGGCGGGCTCTGAGGATGCCGTTAGCATTGCATTCCATGCAACCAGATTGGTTTCGGGCATGAGCCACTGAAAAAAGTGCGCCGCTTGGCTTGGTTCACCCAGATGCAAGTACGCGGACAACATTGTTGTCCACGATACAATGTCTCGCACTGGCGCTCCATCAAACACCGCCTTGGCTCGCTCCAACTCCCCGTTGCGGCCATACACATCCAACATGGAGTTCCAGGACACAAGGTCCGGCTTTGGCATGCAATCGAACAGCGTCGCAGCAGCCTGCACGAGCCCGCCGCGCGCAAGGGCCGTGAGCATTGTGTTCCAAGAGGTCTGGTTTCGCTGGGGCATGCTATCAAACAAGAGTTTTGCATCTGCAAGCCATCCATTCCGGGCGTACGCTGCGAGCATTGCATTCCAGGAGACGACGTCCCGCTGCAGCATGGCATCAAAGAGCTGTTTTGCTTGACCCACAAGGCCATACTGGATGTAAACGCTCATCATGGCGTTCCAAGCAACTACGCTCTTATCCGGCATCCTTTCAAACAGCTCTATCGCATGCTGCAGTTGCCCGTTCCGGGCAAACGCACACAACATCAACACCCAGGTAAAGCAGTTCTTGTGCTCGGCGGCTTGAAATGTTTCTTGAGCATCCGCCAGCCTTCCAGACTTCCCATGCATTTCAATGAGCTTGTTGGTCACAAATGTAGATTCTGGTTCTCCGCAGCTGCCGGAGGTACCTTGAGGTCCAAGCATGCCTACGATGATGCATCATCAAAGGCAAACTGCATGTAGAGATTGGATAGCTGGACGTAAGGAAATGAGTCCTCCAGCGCTAGTGGATCGTCACTTTCCATAATGGCAGAAATGGCATAGTCCACCGCTCCGATAGCGTCGCCCTGCGTGTTACTGGCCGCAAGCATCGCCTTCCACGCGACAACGTTGGGCTCAAATGGCATTGTGTGGAGCAGCTCCTGCGCATCTTTCAAGAGGCCGGCGCGGCTTAAAGCGTCAGCCACGCAGAAGTAGTGGGCTGCGGAAGGCTGGACGCTGCCACTATGGAAACAAACAGCTGCCGGGCAATCTCTGCGGCGCCCATTCGGCTGCATGCCATCATTGCGAAACCTCGTCGGTGATCCAGCCTTCCAGGCCCATCTCCCCAAACAACTACAACGCGTCCTCTCCATATACGCAGCCCAGTTCCTTGACATAACCCTGCCGGGCACACAGCACCGTGTTCCAGGACACTAGAGCCGTTTCTGGCATCGCAACAACCATGCTCTCCACAGCAAGAACGCTGTTGAAACCATCCTCATTGCAGTGATAGTTTACATGTGGATTGAGAAGTGCATTGAAGCAGCACAAACTGTGCTGTGGCAAGCAGTCAAAGAGGGCTTTAGTCGTTTGCAAGTCCCTAACACGGGCAAAAGCGGACATGAGAACAATCCACCAACAATGTCCTTCTGCAGCATCTTGTTGAACAGCATACTTATCTCACCAAGATCTTCATTCCGAGCATGACAGTCTCACATTGTCGTCCATGAAACGGCCGTGGGGCACGGGAGCATGTCAAGCAAAGCTTGGGCGGCTTGCATTTGTCCGGCCTGGGAAAATCTAAAAATTAAAATCATAGCGTTCCAGAATCCCTCTCGGGCATTTGCTCAAACGCCTTCTCTGCGTCCAGGACATGAGAGAAAATGCGCAAGCCAACGCAGTCCACGTCCATATATCTCTCTGAGACCAGCAATCAAACAGGTGTTGCAGGCATTTGCTTCCAGAAGAATGAGAAGACGTTGGGTTGTTGTATGGTTATATGCGTGTGTTCTCCAAGCTGCCACTTGCCATACATGTCAACAAACACCAACAAGATGCACTAACATCATCTTCGTCAAGACTCACAAAACAAAATATCAATATTTGATTATAGCTGAAAGATTGGTCTTGGCATATTCCACTAAGCCAGAATGGTTTAGATTGTCTTTCCATGTAGGAAGGAATTCTCTCTTTTCTGTTTCTCCCCATTACTTCGTGTTTCTTCATCTCCCTCGTTTCTCCTCTTTCCTGGCGCAAATCAGTCGTGTTTCCCACATATCTTAATATTTGGCCTTTTCTCTAGGACTTCCTCGACAAATGCAACTAACTCGGGTTGATGGTGTAGTAAAATTTTTGAGCATGAAGGTATTGATCTCTCATCATAACATTGAGTGTGTAATTTGTAATTTATCTTATGAAACTAGGATGTGGGAAAAAAGTTATGATGGTGGAAACATTCCTTATATTAAAAGAAGAATTTAATTCCCACTTAGAGTCCATTGTTGGGATTAGAGTGTACAACTGAAGAGATCTCGAAATCATTTTTGATTTGGCAAACAAAGGAAGTGTGGAGGAGCAACACTCTCCAGTACTACTAATTTAGTTTTTGCACGTTGGCAATTTTAATGCCTGCTTTGATGTCTGCCCCCAGGGTCATCACCTTCTTCATCTAAGTGGGAGTTGAATTCTTCCTTTAAGATGAGCAATGCTTCCATCATCAAAACTTACTCTCACATCTTAGTTTTGCAAGACTGCACATCTTGTAACTTAATGTTATCATGAGAAATATGTTTCAAGTCCATTCCTTCAATATCTTCATTTGCGATGATTTCATCATGTTCCGAGCCAGCTGTGTTCAACATGCTCGGTGATCTCATCCATACCTATAGCCATTGCCATTGCCATTGAAAACATTACCCTAAAATACAATCTGATCTTGGAGACAATATTCAAGATCAAATGCAACCACCTGAAACTGATGCTGTCATGCATTCCTCTTGCTGCTCATGAAGGCTAGCCTTCCATTTGTTGATCAAACCATTGAGCATTTCAAACAGAAGCTCATCCAAATGAAGGCATTAATAGATCGTTCTTAGATGCAGCGTACACTGGGGTTATGAAGATGTCGATGCCCGTGGAACCTCGTGTCATGGAACACCTTGCTCCAGGCGGTGGTGGCGACGAAGATAATTGCCAGGAGCGAGATCGCGGTGGACTGGTAGCAGCACAGCGCCTGTTCGACGCAATCATTCCGATCGTAACAGTCTAACATTGTCGTCCATGAAACGCCCGTGGGGCACGGGAGCTTGTCAAGCAAAGCTTGGGCGGCTTGCACTAACAAAAGCTAAAATCATAACATTCCACAACACGGAATCCCTTTCGGGCATTTGCTCTCTGCGTCCAGGACACGGGACCCGGACTGAATAAATGTGCAAACCAACGCGGTCCACGTCCATGCATCTCGCTCAGGCAAGCGATCAAATAGGAGCTTTGTCTCTTCAAGCTGCCCGTTGTGGGCATTTGCTTCCAGAAAAATGTTCCACGAGAAGACGTTGGGGCGTTGTATGATTGCAAACACAGTGCGCACATTCTCCAAACTGCTGCACTTGCCATGCATGTCAACAAGGAGATTGGACAAATATCTGTCCAACAACACATTCCACCAAGCGCGATGGCATCTTCCGAGCTCTTGGTATTTCCAGCGTTTCGGATCAGGCGAGTTATGTGACACATAAGAATCTGCTCTCATTTGATTATTTATTTATTACCATCTGCCTACTTAGTTGTACAGGCAATTCAATTTTATGTCGCTTTGATCGGTTTCAGGTCTGCTTCTACGAAGAGCAAACACAGAGGCCTCAGTTGTTTCTCAATCACCTGCAAGGTGAGAAGATTAAGATTGATTTGCAGTGATTACAACCCACCTGATTATAGCCCGGACTATTATAAAATTGTGCTACAGCATTCTCTGGAAAGTGTTCAAGTTATGTTATAATGTGCAAGAAGGTTTCTAGTTTACCTGATGCCAGGCGCGCAACAAATGCATGAGAATAAAGAACGTCTCGGTCATAAAGATTTTTGCCTAGACCAAATCCAAGATACCAGTGTTAGAACGACTACTTGTACGTAAGATTTTCTCAACTCACCAACTGTTGTTTGCAAGACAATTGAAGGCATGGATACAGATAGACCCTTCAAGGATTCAAGCACACTTTGAATCTGTGCATGGCTTACGCCCAGATTAAATCTGAACATAGCCATGTGGATGATCTCGTTTGGAAAGTTCTGCACAAATACAAATTGCATGTCAGATATTAATGACATTGAAAACCTTCCTGCCTGAGCTGAATCGCCATTTACAACCGTGTTGTAGTCCACACTGTCTTCACCCTGCAAATATCACAAGTAAGGAACAAAACATGAGGCGCACAGCTAGCCTACCCGAAGATAAGGGATCTGAGGCAGCACGGCCAATGCGAACTGTTTCGAGAAGTAGTATTGCAGCAAGGTTCCTTGATCCGGGAAGCGAGCAAAGAGACCATGGGTGAACCCGTCGACATCTTTGAGTAGTCGGCCTGCAAAATAGAAGAAGAGAACTTAGTGGGGAGGAGCCGAAAGATGTGGGCCTCGAATTGCTACCTGTGAAGAGTGTAATCACCCCCGGAAATGTCCTGAGACTGTCCAAACTGTTGAGCACCTTCGCCTCGGCAGAAGTGTTGGATTTGAGACCAGGCATCTTGAACAAGACAGGGTGGTCCAATAGGCCACTTGAACTCGTTGCAAAACCGATCAGCAACATAAGCAACGAAGCCAGGAGCTTAGTCATGACAAGATCCATTGTTGTGATAGCACTGAGCTCCAAGTACCTACACAAGCAAGAAACGGGACGAGACACAGAAAAGTCGCCTTTCTGGCATTGTTAGGTGAGCAAACAAGTAGAACTCGTTAGAGAGATGGCTTGATGAGGCACGCCGAATGTCGACCTTGTCCACAGTTGCACGTACTGCGCAGCTGCTCCGGAATGCGTCGAGTGTGTCAGAAGTGAAGCGCATTGCCGACATGGCGCAGAGCGGCGACAATGCGTGGTCGGAGGAGAGTCGAACCTACCTGGCCAACCTCGCCGTCCACATGCACGCCAAGCTGGGAAGCACAGAGGATGCCGCGCAGGCATTTGCCGGAATCAGGCAGCCCAATGTCTTCTCCTGCAACATGATGCTCGCAGCATACGCCCGCAATGGCCAAGTTGAGCCCGCGCGGCAAATGTACGAGTGGATGCATGAGAGAGGTGTTGCGCCGGACGTGGTGTCCGGCTCCTGCCTGGTGCGTGCTGCTGCCCAGGCCGGGGATGTGGAGCAAGCCAAGCGCTTGTTTGACTCGTTGCCTGCTTGGGACATGGTCACCTGGAACGTCCTGCTTGCTGCATATGGCGACTGCGGCCACTGCAGCGACGCCAAGCGCCTCTTTGACACCATGCCCAGCCGCGACATTGTGTCGTGGACCACCCTCCTCCATGCTTTTGCCCAGCACGGGGACCTGGCGGCAGCGCAGGCCCTGTTCGATGCCATGCCCGCGCGGAACCTCGTGTCGTGGAACACCTTGCTCCAGGCGGTGGTGGCGGCAACACTTGACGAAGATGATTGCGAGGAGCGAGATCGTGGTGGTGCTGCACTGGTAGCAGCACAGCGCCTGTTCGACGCCATGCCTGCCATGGACGCAGTGTCCAGCACGGCCCTTATCTCGGCCTATGGCTCTGTAGGCGACCTGGCAAGCGCACGAGCTGTGTTCGATGCCATGCCCGTGTTGCACCGGGACGTGGTCGCCTGGAATGCCATCATTTCCGCGCATGCCCGCATTAACGACCTTCCCACCGCCCGCCGTCTCTTTGATTCCATGCCACACCGCGACACTGCGTCTCACAACACGATGGTGATGGCATATGCCGCAACTGGGCATGTGGAGGAGGCCAAGAACATGTTTGATACCGCTCTTCTTGTGAACATGGTGTCATGGAACTCCATGCTGCAAACGTATGCAACGCACTTGGACCTCGCGGACGTTCTCTCGCTCTTTAAGCGCCTCCCCACCCGCGACGTTGTGTCGTGGACCATACTTGTTGCAGCAATTGCCCGAAGCGGGGATATGCAGTGGTCGCAGGGCGTCGTGTTTAGCGCCATGCCCGCCCGAGCACTCGTGTCGTGGAACGCGTTGCTGGCGGGGTATGCGCAGGCGGGGCGCGTGGAGCGCGTGAATGCATTGTTTGCCACTTTGCCCGAAGCCGACGTTGTCACCTGGAGCGTGGCCATGGCCGCCAACGCAAACTCCCCAGACCACACTGGCGACTCGTGCCGGCTGCTGCACACCATGGCGTGCCACGGCCTGCAACCCAACGCTTGCAGCTTCCTGGCCCTCCTCACAGCCTACTCCAACCTCGCGCTCCTCCGCCCCGCCTGGAGGCTTTTCCTGTCCATGGTGGCCGACTTCCGCGCCCCGGCGGCGAGGGAGCACTACTGCGCCATGGTGGCGCTCCTGGCGCGGGCGGGGCGGCTTGACCAGGCGGAGGAGTTGATGGAGAGCATGCCGTTCGTGCCCGACGCGTCCGGGTGGGGCGCCCTGGTGTGGAGCTACAGGGCGGAGGCGAGGCGCGGCGCCGGTGGAGCAGCGAAGGCTTTGCTGCTTGGCGAGGAGGCCGAAGCGCTGGCCCTCGCCTCGCAAATGCTGGCGCCGTGCTAGAAATGACTGACTGACGGAGCGCCGTTAGGGTTTCCAGGCGCGAAGGGAAAGGGTTGGGCGACCTTGGCCCAGCGCGGCATTGGGTAGGGCGGCATCGCCATCGGCATTGTCGCCATTGTCAAGGGCAGTCGTGCGCATCGCATCGCATCGCATCAGGTGCTTGTTGCTTGACCGAGCTTGGTTGCGAATCGGGATGCCCTGACTCTCTCCGAGATGTGCATTCTGTGTGTGGCGTCGAGGTGGTCACGGCGCATCGTCACTATGCTGCCGTGGCTCATCTTCCCGCTCGTGCTGGTGTGGACGCTCTCGCAGCTCCTGCCACCCGGGCTGAGGTTCGAGATCACGTCCCCCCGGCTGGCGTGCGTGGGCGTGCTGCTGCTCAGCCTCGCCTGGTACGAGTTCTTCATGCCCCGGCTGTCCGAGTGGCGCACCCGCCGGAGCCTGGTGCTCCACGAGAAGAGGAAGATCGAGGCGCAGGAGGCGGCCAAGTGGAGGAAGGAGGCGGTGCGAAAGTGTAGGAACTGCTTCATGGCCTACAAGGACCAGAAGCCACAGCTGGGCGGCAAGTTCATGTGTACCTTCTGCGGCCACCTCTCCAAGCGCCCCGCTCTCGACGTCCCCGCGGGGGGCATGCCCGTCAACCGCTACATTGGCAGCGGCAGGAAGGAGTTGAGGATGCAAGGGAGGCGGAGCTGGAGCCAGGACGTGTGGCCCGGCGTATGGATGTCCGCCAGCGACAAGTGTGTCATCGGCGCCCAGACCTCGGGGCTGCTCATCGTCTTCCGCCTCGTCTCCTTCGTCGGCTACTGCCTGTGGTGGGCGCTCTCCAGGCTGTGGAGTGGGGGGATTATGTCCGACGCGGACAGCTCCCGGACGGACAGGAAAGCCGGGCACCGGAAAGGCGACGATGGGAGTGGCCAGGAGAGCAAAGTTGACAGGGTGAGGCGCAAGGCGGAAGAGAAGCGGCTGGCTAGGCTAGAGAAGGAACAGATGGAGGCCGAGGAGAGAATGCAACGGGAGGAAGTAGCCAGGCTTGTAGACGAGCGCAGAAGGCAGAGGGCCGATGCTCAGAAAGACAACAAGATGGCTGACGAGGTCGGGAGTAGTGACGAGCAGGCCCAACGTCGGAAGCAGGAGAAAGCCGGTGGCGACAGAGGCAAAGACTCGTGGAAGTCAAGGAGCGGGGCTGTTGCTCTCGAGGATCCAAGAAAGGCCAGGGACAAGAACAAGAGAGACAAGAGGCCCGATGCTGCCAGGCCCGTCGTCGTCGTCGAGCCTGGGCTGGCCAAGACTGAGACGATCAAAGCAGTGAAGTCATCCGTGGCCGTAGCCAAGCCGGTTGTTGTTTGCCCGGTCACGAAGCAGCAGTTGATGAAAGTCAAGGCGTCGGTGTTGAAAAAGCAGGACAAGCATGTTGTGTCCGCGACGGCAATAGCTGGTACCACCTCGTCAAGCAAAGCGAACGCAAATGAAGGAGTGGCGCGTAAGCCATCCGCGTGGAACCGGATCTCTTGGGCGTGGGGTAAAGGAAGTGGCACAAGGATGACCAAGCACCACCAGAGTATCAGTGAGGTTCGTAACCTGTTCTTCACTCCGTTGCTTTCAAGTGACACGGGTAATCGTTGTCTGCTCAGGTCCAAGGCTTGGATGCTTCAACTAGCACATCTCCTGACGTCGACGGCGTCCCGCCATCGCCATCACCATCACCTGCTCTAGTTGAGGCTGATCTGCAAGCGCTTCACGACAGCGCCTCCTTGGCTAGTCCCCGCGCGTGCAAGAACGAAACCGCCGGCCTGTCACCAGTCGACGATTGCCCTCCTCCTCCTTCCCCGTCCCAGTCCGTCTACTCGACGTTCATGGCCAGTGTTCCAGATGCACAACCGGCTTATGACAGATGGGTGGCTAGTGACTTGGCTCCCAAGTCGACGTGGAAAATGTGGGAGGCACCCAACCTCGATCTTCCGAGGCTTACTCAGTGCATCAACGGCGTGGGTCCAGTGTCGTCCCAGCCCAGCGGTGACCTGGCATCGTCATTCCTAACCAGCGGCCCGGTCGGCATCGTCCCGAGCGTCCCCATCACCAATAACCTGTGGTCCAACTATCATGCATTCGAGTCTGCAAGACGGATATGGGAGGATGACTTGCAGTCGGAGGTGACTCCGCCCGAGTTTGTGGATTGTATCACGCAAGAGGTTATGAAGGACCCAGTTATTGCGGCCGATGGGCATTCTTACGAGCGCTCAGCGATCGAAGCGTGGCTCAAGTAAGTCTTGTTCTTCCTTTGTTGGTGCTGTACTAACGCTCCAAAGGGACGTCTTCTTTTGGTCGCCAGGACGCATGATACATCCCCCAAGACGGGAGAAGTGTTACCTTCTCTAGGCAGCAGCGGCGGCGGAGTTGATAAGTCATTGCGGCCGAACCACAACCTGAGGGGCCAAATCATCGAGTACAAAGAATGCATGCAACGAGGGTATGGTGCATTGTTTTGGTGATCTCAACTTGGCTTATTCGTGTCCTCCACCCAGGTTAGTGCCTGCCGCCAGTGGTGCTGCCGGGTGGCAGCAGCCGGCCGCCACAGAAGCGGTGAGAAAGGGTCATGTTGGGGGCCTCTACACACCTCCTCCTGGGCTGGGATCAGTGTGGGCATATAGCAGCACCACCAATATCTCCTAGCCTGCCTTGGCCTGGCCTGGCCTGGCCTGGCCGTAAACTCTTCTACCTAATAAGCTAAGTCTTTGTTTCCTCGTCTCTCCTTTGCTAGGCCTAGGTTGTGTCATGCCATGCGGCTGCTTGGCTTCCTCGCGTCTGTTGCCGCTGCTGCGTCGTTCGGCCGAGGGCGAGGGCGAGGGCGATGGCAAGGAGGGGAATGTGGCTTGTATGTGCACGCCAGCACCCCGTCGCCCACGACCTGTTGGAGCCGGGGGATCAGCGTGCTCAACTACATCGTCCCCAAGAAGAAGAAAGGCGTCAGGCCTCGCTTCTGCCTCACGCGGCTCAAGAAGAGGAGGATCATCGGCAACCTGGTGAAGCGGTCCAAGAGGCATACGTGGACGAGCAAGAGGAGGCTGGCGATGGAAGTGGATGCCGTCAAACAGGTGGAGGAGGAGGAGAAGAGGAGGAGGAGGGCCGTAGAGGACAGGCCCCTGCTGCTGCAGCTGAGAAGGCAGCAGCAGAGGGCGGGCCGGGTGCGGAGGATTCTGGGCGAGCAAAGGACCTTTGCAGACAAGGCCGCCGACGTGTATGCCGAGCTCATTCGCCTGAGAGCAGCAGGCAAGCCATTGTCCCAGCTGAGCTACGACGGCATTGAGAGGTGGTTCAAGAGTGACACCGCTGCTTTCGCGGGCCAGAGGAGTGCGGAACCCGGCAGGGCACAAGTTGCGTCGGCACTGGAATCCAACGGGAGCGTGTTTCATGGCCTGGGGTGGCTGGGCAGGGGAAGGTGGAACGTTCACACCACGACGATAGACGATGCTGGAGTGTGCCGGAGGTGTCACGAGCAGCTGTCCACGTACAAGACCGACGCACAAGAGGCGGACAAGTTCGCCCGTCACATGGTGAACCTCGCCTCCAAGAGCGTCCATCGCTTGCATTTCGACATGTTCTCGGTGAGCCAGCTTCCTCTCCCCACCCCTGTCTGTGAGTGACGACGCTCTTTTCCAAAGGATTGGATGCACCTCACCTCGTACGACGCCATCCTGGACGGTCTAAGCTTGCGACGCTGCAACGTTGACTCGCGCCTCAAGCTCGTCAGGAGCGCAACCTTCCACGACATTGTGCGTTACGTTACAGAAAGAGTGTCGCTCCTGCTGCTCACTGGCCCATGTCTGCCTTGCAGTTGAAATCAGCGGTGGAGGAGCTGCGAATGCGGTCCCTCAAGTTCTTGGTTGTGCTCGACACCGAGGGAGCTCATGCAAACGGGAACTCACCGGTGGCTGGGGATCCCAAGCTGTTTCTGTACCAGCTGAAACAAGACAAGGAGCTCTACACGGTGCCCAAGGGAGTGGACTCGACCTGGTAGTGGTACCTTCCAGCCTTTTATTTCAGTGGTTGTTATGTTCTTTGCTCCCCAAGGCTTGCCCTCTATGCTGCCATGAAGCACGGATGCATGCTGCTCACCAACGACACCCTGGAGAAGCCGAGAAAGCTATACCCAGGCATGTTCTTACCCAAGTGGATGGAGAGGCATCAGGTTTGTCTTTCATTCATGCTGATTTTTTATCGTCTGCTCCATTTGCGCTTGCAGGTTCGTTTTGATCTTCCAATTCAGTTGTCATGGCCGCCAGCTTATTCGGTGGCGATCCAGGTTGGTTTGCCTGCAATTGTTTCATTTCACCGCCATTTATCCGAGTCTGCTTTTTTCTTCCAGGAGTCTCTGGAGGGCTCGTGGCATGTTCCCAGCTACAGCGCTCATGATCTGACACAACCTAGGCCGTGGCTATGCATCACGCGGCCAAGAAAGCTGGTCTACGAAAATAACACAACGCGGGTGGTAACCATCTCCTAACCTTTGAAGCTAGATGCTTGACAGGGCCAGCGAAGACAAGCTTGCTGTTGCGATTGCATCGTGCGTCCAAGTTGACACGCTGAAGCAAGTGCACTTGCGTATCTGCCAGGAGTTCCCTCGGACCCCTTACCTGTTGAACTTGGTCGTGCAAATGTACGCTAAGCTGGGCGATCTGGAGTCCGCGTATCAGACTTTTACATGTATCAAAGAGCCCAACCTTTACTCCTGGAGCCTCATGTTAGCCGCATACACTCAGCACGGACAGATGCAGCAAGCAAGGCACCTGTTCGACAAAATGCCCGAGAGAAATGTCGTCGTGTGGACATCCATGATAACAGGATACTCTCAAGCCGGGAATGTTGAGGAGGCCCGGTGCATTTTCGACGTGATGCCTGAGAGGAATATCGTGTCTTGGAGTGCCATGCTGCAGGGATACGCCCAAAATGGGCACGTTGACGAAGCTAAAGACGTGTTTGACAGAATGCCTAGGGTGAACGTCGTGTCTTGGACTGCCATGGTTCAGACTTATGCTGAGAACGGGCATCTTGTAAAGGCCAAGGTAATGTTTGACCAAATGCCCGAGCGAAATCTCATAACCTGGACTGTTATGCTTTTGGCATATGCCAATGGTGGGCTTGTGCATGAGGCAAGGGTGACGCTGGAGAGGATGCCCGAGTTCTCGTTTCTCTCTTGGAACATCATGCTTTCGGCGTATGCACAGCAAGGTGATCACAACAATGCAACGCGTACGTTTGATGCTATGCGAGAGAGGACTGTGACCAGCTGGAACGCTCTCATTTTCTCGTGTGCTCAGAATGAGTCCATCAAGCAGGCCGAACACCTCTTCGAAACGATGCCCGAGAGAAGCCTGGTGTCTTGGACCTCAATGATTTCGGCATACGTAAGTGTTGGTTGCTTGGAGGGATCGAAGTGCGTCTTTGACCGTATGCCGGAGCGGGATATAGTCGCTTACAACACCATCCTGCAGGCGTATGTCCAGTCGGGGCATTTGGACTATGCAGAGACATTGTGTGAGAAAATGGCGAGGCACGACGTTGTAACGTGGACAACTATGATGGTAGGCTACGCCAAAGACATGAACCTGTGTGCGTGCAAGGCTATGTTCTACCTCCTGCCAGACCGCAACTGCATGTCGTGGAACGCTGTTCTTGCAGCCATTGCCCAGAACGGGCATCTGGTAGCTGCGAGGCAAATGTTTCAAGAGATGCCAGAGCGTAACATTGCCTCCTGGAACACTATGATCGCCGCCTCCTCGCATGCTGGACAACCCGCCGCAGCAGTAATGCTCTTCCACTTTCTCCAGGCGGAAGGCCTTGCTCCTTCGGACATATCATTCACGAGCCTCTTGCATGCCACAAGCCACGGGGGTGACTTGTCCGAAGGCTTGCTATACTTCAGGTCGATGGTTGCTGATTATGGTCAATCGCCTCTGAGAGATCACTTTTGTAACATGGTCGACATCCTTGGACGAGCCGGCTACACTCAAGAAGCCGAGGAACTTGTTAACTGCATGCCATTCCTTCCGAAAGAGGTGGAATGGGGAGCCTTGCTTGGTGCCTGTAGGATCCACATTGATGTCACCCCTGCCGCTCGAGCAGCCGAGCATATTCTCGAGCTGGATCCAGACCACGGCTCCGCGCGTCTCTTGCTGGAAAGCATCTACGCCGGTCTGCGAGATTAGTGTACTCTACGTACCTACTGTACTGCACACTGTGCCCTGAATGGAAGGAAGGTGGCTCATGCCAGATGCATGGTGTTTGTGCGTCTCTTTCTTGTGCCAACGCAGGGCTTGCTCGAGTGTGCCTTTGTGTATATAAAGCTCACATTTGATCGCCATAAACATCCGCCCGTCTCGCTTTCTCTCCTGTGTCATCTTTTACCACCCATGGAGGCGCCTCTCAAGTTTCTTAGCTTCGCTGCCATCGTAGCCTTTCTGGTGGCAACAACGGCACCAAGCGTCGTGGATGGTGCGACGTGCACCTTCGAGTCCACATTGCCCGACCTTGCCGACTGCCGCCCCTACGTATCGACTGGGAGCACCCAGACCGATCCCACCGCCGCCTGCTGCTCCGAGCTCCGCAATGTCGGCCACTCCTGCCTCTGCGATCTTCTCAGAGACACCAAGGTTCCCTCGGACATTGATATCAACAGGGCCGTTGCACTGCCTGGCAAATGCAGCCTTCCCGGCGCCGATTCCTGCAGCTAAGCATGGACGCTGACGACACGAGGTAAACTTCTCTGTGGTCATACCTGGGTTACCTCACGCATTTCTTGCAGGGTGCCATGCGTCCCTTTTGTTTCAGAAAATAAGTCACAGTAGTTTTGCGTTCTCACAATAATTGTCTGGTGACCGTTGACACCGTATGTTTTTTTCCTTTAACTGAGGCGCTGATTATCAAGTTTTTATCATGTTTTTTTGAGCGTGGGGTGGGGATAAGATATGTAGGCTTTAAATTTAGCTCTCCCCTGTATTAAAACTCTCCGGCTCGCCCCTTTCGCCTTCCAGAAGGAACAAGCCACCAGGTACAGAGAACGACTAACTGTGTTCAGGTGCAGGGATGGAGCGATCATCGTTGATTGTCGCGTTTGGCGAGATGTTGATTGATTTTGTTCCCACTGTTGGTGGATTGTCGCTAGCGGATGCCCCGGCCTTCAAGAAGGCGCCAGGTGGCGCGCCAGCCAACGTTGCTGTGGCCGTGTCCCGCCTTGGTGGGCACTCGGCATTCATCGGGAAGGTGTTGCGCTCTCTCTCTCTCTCTCTCTCTCTCTCTCTCTCTGTGGTTGGTTCCTGTTTTCAACTCCCTTGCGGATCCTGAATCAGGTTGGCGAGGATGAGTTTGGGTATATGCTGGCCGAGATACTCAAGCAGAACAAGGTTGAGGACAGGGGCATGAGGTTCGACCCCCATGCTCGCACGGCCCTCGCCTTCGTTACGCTGAAAGAAGATGGGGAGAGGGAGTTTATGTTCTACAGGAATCCAAGTGCTGATATGCTTCTCAGGCCTGATGAGCTCGACGAGGAGCTTATTAGCAAGGTGAGTGAGGCATGACTTCAGCTGGCTGACTATTTTGATGGCTAGGCGTCGGTGCTCCACTATGGGTCCATCAGCCTCATCTCGGAGCCATGCAGATCGGCACACCTGGCAGCCATGGACGTGGCAAGCAAAGCAGGCGTGCTACTGTCATACGATCCCAATTTGAGGCTGCCACTGTGGCCTTCGGCTGAGGAAGCTCGCAAAGGAATCTTAAGCATATGGGACAGGGCCGATCTCATCAAGGTAAATCTAACAATTTCAAGTAAGCAAGTATTACAAGTGTTACAGGTGAGTGAAGAGGAGCTCCAGTTTCTGACTGGCAAAGATCCATTTTCGGACGAAGCAGCCCTGTCCGTATGGCATTCAAACCTCAAGCTCTTACTCGTAACTGAGGGTCATCGGGGTTGCCGCTACTATACGAGCGTAAGCAGTTCCGTCCTGGGATCATACACTCATACATGTTTATAACAGGATTTCCACGGGAGAGTGGACGGTATCAAAGTGCAAGCCGTAGACACCACCGGTGCTGGGGATGCCTTCGTGGGAGGCCTTCTGAGCCAGCTTGTGGGCGATTTGTCGCTCTACAAGGTATGCATATATGTAGCCTCAGGACATGCATGATGTGTGTGGGCTTTCCAACAGGACGAGCAGAGATTGAGAGCAGCTCTCAAGTTTGCCAATGCATGCGGAGCAATAACGACGACGGAAAGAGGTGCAATCCCTGCATTGCCTGACAGGGACACGGTGCTGCGGCTCATAGGTACGCTCTTTTTATCATTCCCTGCAGTAACAAACAAATTGACGCAGACGAGATCCCCAAATCTCGGATGCCCCGGGCGCCTTCGTGGTCCAACATCACGCGCTGGCGACTTGAAGATCACGAGCACGAGGGAGCAGTTCCAGCAGCGTGAATCCAATCATATGATCACTATGCTCCAATTGTGAATAAACGGAGGATGAATCCCGTATCAAGACTAATTCTTCTTTTCCAATCTGAGTAAAGCACACATATCACAAGAGATCACACGAGCCTCGAGTACTCCCAAAGGATCTGGACTAGCCTCCGGAACTCGGCAATAACGAAGTCGAGCCTGTGGCGTCTCCACAGGCAGAAGAAGAGAATGCAGCCCAGGAGCAGGATGAGACAGACGGCTAGCACCACCGTCCCAACCCAGGCCGCTGTGGACGGGGCAGAGAGGGAGAGGAGAGAGGATCCTGCATTCTCGAGCCCCGGAAGCTCCCACATGACCATGGCGCTGAAGGACATATATAATTTTTAGGGCGGGGCGGACATTAGAATCGAACCTTGGCTTGAAATTGAGTGCCCTGGGTGGACTTTCCTTCCGACTTGTTCACTTTGTAGCTATGGTGGCTTTGTCCAGGAGCTGCTGGGAAATGCCCCAGGCTACCTAGGGTTTGCGCCATGCCCAAAGGCGCAGCTCACTTGAGCTGCTACGAGGTAGGTAAAAGATTGATTGCTTCTCTCCTTCGACGAGCCCCTCTTAGATTTGGCATTTTTGTCGTATTTCTTCACATCATTCATCCAGTGATTTTTAACTCTAGTTTGATGGCAAGGGATGAGACATGTCCACTAGGACAAGACACTGGGACTCCCTCCGGGCAAAGCTCCATGCTGCTTGTTTGCTAGACGAGACGGGTCTCGATCCAAAGTCCCGTGAAGGCTTGCTTGCCAAGGTGAATCCAGATTTCTGACAAACACGGCCGCGATTCGATATATAATTGTAGCTGGCAGGATTGCTGCTGTTCCAGTGAAATGGAGTGTGGACATACACAAGATACATCTCGGCTGGAAGCACGTAACAGATGGAGGCGGCTCAAGAACACAGTGGCTTTTGCGGCTGCCATCAAATCCTCTCTGGCCCATGATCTGCTCGAGGACAAACTTCACGTCGATCCCGTAAAAGGCAATGACAGTGTTGCTACCGGTGCAGCAGCTCAGGCTTCGATGCCAGTTAAAGCCAAAGGAAGGAAAGGAATGGAAGGCCTTGTGGTCCAGCAAGACAGAGGTTACATGTCTTGCTTCCAAGATTTTTATGTCGCCTGCCTCAAGGTACTTCACTCGCGTAGCTTTTTTATCATAGCATGGTGCCGCACTCACCCGAAGCACGTTTTTGTCTTACGCAGCTGCCAGTCGTTCACTTCTTTATTGGAGTTTTCCTGGCTCCAGTTGCTTTGGCCTCGATCTTCACGCCACTCTATCTATCGGATGCCAAGGGGCTCAAGCTCGTCGAGTCGCAAGAAGCGGGTTCGTCGTGCGACTCATCCAAGATATGGAGCTGCTTGAATGTTTTTCTCTACTCGTACGTACGTATATCAGATGTGGCCATGCTACTTAGTGGCTCTTTGCAGGCTATCCTTGTCAACAACCTTCGGTGGCTCGCCAATCTCTGCAATCTCGCCATTCTGTCTACTTGTTGCGAATCTTCACACGCTCATGGCTCAGTTCTTGTTTGTGTTTCTGAGTGGTGCCGGTAAGACGGTAGAGATGGCTGAAATTCGGTCTCGTAGCTCATGTCGTGAGAGGTTGCTGTTTGGTGCAGTTTTCGCTCGTATGTCACAGCCAGCGCATCCCATAAGGTGCTCCAAGAAAGCCATAATAAAAAACAATGACTTCGGGACATCAGATGACGAAGATGGCAGATCCAAGTATAAAGGATTCATCTCTCCTGCGCCCTCTTGACTCACTCGTCGTGCGTTTTGTGTGTCACGCAGAGTCTTTGTTATACGGCTGGTACTGACGGGGCCTCCTCCCTGCGAGCTCGTGGATGCAAAGATACGCCTCACATTTCGCATTTATGTGAGGCTGCCGTCCGGGTCGATGTTCTGCTCGACACAGGATTTGGACCTGGTGCGTTCAGAAGTACGTACACACGCACATATATACGTCTGGACTTGGGTTACCTGAGCTTAGTGATCTCATCTAACATTGTCGTCTAAGCGGTGCAGGTTGCATACCTAAGATATGGACTGACAGTACGCCACGTAATAAACTCCAAGAGTCCGATTAGCGGGCACACTTTGGACACTCTTGCTCAGGGAGATGCGTCCTTCTCGCTGACGATAATGGGTGTGGAGCGCAGCTCCATGCAGCCCATCTTCCATGTGGAGGTGAGCCTTGACTTCTCCACACCAGTTTAATCCGAGGCCAAGTGTGGTGTGTGACAGGATTACTTCATATGTGATGGAGACGTGATATGGGATGGGGAGTACCTCGACTTCGTAGGAGTGAACGACAAGGGCCTGAGAGTACTAGACCATTCCAAGATAGACATGTTGAAACCATTCAAGGTTCTCTCTCTCTTGATAGTTTTCACTCCTGAAGAGATTTCCTTCTCAGGTGGCGGGAGTTGTAACACAAGCCATAGCAAGAATGGAAGGCGAAGTTGCAAGACACAAAGCTGAAGCGGATCTAAAGGAAGAGAAAAACCACGAACCACTTTCGGAATCAGATTGGAAGACAAGCGGTGTGAGAATCAGGAAACTATGGAAAACAATATCTGGTTCGAAGTAAAATAGAAAATAATTTCTAGCAGCCTGGGTAGGGTTTGGGCCATGGGGAAGAGCAGGAAGCGGCAAGCGGCAAAGCGGATGATGGACATTGACCATGATCAAGGTAAACAAACATCCATCTATTTCTTCTCCATTGTTCCGATGCTGCTCCTGAATAGAGGCACAGGGCATGGATGTAGACGAGCCCAAATCCACATCCAACCCACCCAATGGGTAGGTGTTATTTGTTTTCTTGAAGCTGCCCAATGCTCTCTTGCACGGCAGGCTGTCCAAGGAATCCAAATTGATCGCAAAGCGGCGTCGTGCCGTGAATGTACGCAAGAAGGCGGCGGCTGACAAGGCGCTGGCGATGCTGGAGAAGAAACAGCAAAAGGCTCAGACGGATCTGGCAAAGGTGTGTCGCAAGAATCTACTCAAGAAGCTGTACTAGGTAGTGGAAAGAGGTAGGGTTGCAATGGAGAGTCATCATGCCCGGCTGCTAGCCTTCGATTTTGTGAGGAAACAGGTTGGCCGTCGTGTAGAGATGGTGGGGGTGGCGGTGAGCGTGGAGCGCAAGCCCAAGTACGTGCGCTTTGCTGTGGACGACGGCACGGGCTGCATATCTTGCATCTTGTGGACCAACCAGAGTGGCGCCCCCCAGCAGCAGGCAGCGGCAGACATGGCGCGGCTTGTCACTCTGGGGGGCCTGCTCGCGGTGCACGGCCGCGTCTCCCGCTACCACCACCACCCGCAGCTCACCGTTTCGTCTCTCCTGCCACAGCCGGATGCCAATGCCGAGGTTTACCACTGGATGGAGTGTATCAAGCTTGCGCTAGATTGCTATTAGTTCTCCAAATTGTGGCCCTCCCTGTTAAATACAAGTTAGCCTAAAGGGAAACGATAAAAAGGCGCTGCGCAGGGCAAGAGGGCGAGGGATTGATAGCCCTCTGAATCCCATGTCCAGTTGATCCATAGCATATAACAAGGTAGAGCAATCCATGGCTTCTAGCTCGCACAGTGTTAGAACCAGAGTAGGGAAGTATGAGCTTGGGAGAACGCTTGGAGAGGGTACCTTTGCCAAAGTCAAGTTTGCGAAGAATACTAAAACAGGGCAAGGTGTGGCTATCAAGATCCTTGACAGGGACAGAGTTCTTAAGCACAAGATGGTCGAACAGGTTTGGCTGCCTGCGCGTTTTCCACTCTTCTTCACCTTGTGTTGCAGATCAAGCGAGAAATCTCAACTATGAAACTCGTGAGACATCCTAATATTGTTCAGATAAACGAGGTAACGCATTGGTAATTACAGCACTGGCTTATTTCTTTTATCGTTGCAAGGTTATGGCCAGCAAGTCCAAAATCTACATCGTCTTGGAGCTTGTCACGGGCGGTGAGCTCTTTGATAAGATCGTGAGTTAAAGAAAAGAACTGGGAGAGGATGACTCATTTTGCCAGTTTCACTGTATAGGTTCATCAAGGCAGGCTTAAGGAAGACGAAGCAAGGAAATACTTTCAGCAGCTTATAAATGCAGTAGATTACTGCCACAGCCGTGGTGTATACCACCGTGATTTGAAGGTCTGTCCTTTTCTTCATTTTCTGCTTTAAAGACTTTTCTTATTCTCCAGCCTGAGAACCTGCTACTAGATTCAAATGGGAACCTGAAAATATCGGATTTCGGTCTGAGTGCTCTGCCTCAACAACTCAGGGTAAGCAGGTGCCTTCCTTTTTTCTTTTTCTTTTTTTTTTTCTGTTTTGCTTTTCTCTTTTTTCTTTGTGTAATATTATAGTTGTGTTGAAGGCTGATGGGTTGCTGCATACAACTTGTGGGACTCCAAACTACGTCTCACCAGAGGTAAACCAACTCGGGTTGGCTGGTTAACTAACAACTAAGCAGGTGATCAATGACAAAGGTTACGATGGAGCCAAGGCAGATTTGTGGTCTTGTGGGGTAATTCTGTTTGTTCTCATGGCTGGCTATTTACCTTTCGACGAGCCCAATCTGATGAACTTGTACAAGAAGGTACATATCCAATGTTATGACTGGGTTGAGGATCTCTTTTGGATGTAGATATACAATGCAGAGTTCACCTTCCCTGCTTGGTTTTCTACGGGAGCAAAGAAGCTCATACACAGGATTCTAAACCCCAATCCTCAAACAGTAAGGCACACGGAAACACCACCTGGCTAATCACTTATTTTCTCTATTCAGCGTATCACTGTCCCTGAAATCTTGGAGAATGAGTGGTTCAAGAAAGGATATGTTCCAGCAAAGTTTGAAGAGGAGGAGCATGTAAATCTCTCCGACATTGATGCCGTTTTTAACGCGTCATCAGAGGTATGGCCTGGTTTGTTAGCTGCATGGAACTTACAAATCTGTTTTTCCAAAGGATCACCTAGTAACAGAGAAGAAGGAGGCCAAACCCAATCCAATGAACGCCTTTGAATTAATATCCACGTCTCAAGGGCTTGACTTGTCAGCACTGTTTGAAGAGAAACAGGTATCATATCTATTACTGAAGTTGTTAAATTGAAGGGTGCACTCCTTTAGGCTCCAGTGAAGCGGGAAACTAGATTCACTTCAAGCAAGGCTCCGAAAGAAATTCTTCAAAAGCTTGAAGACACAGCCAAACCCCTTGGCTTCAATATAGACAAGCGTGATTACAAGGTTCTCTTTTCCTCATTTCTATACCCAAACTAACACGGACTGAGTCTAGATGAAAATGCGAGGAGAAAAATCTGGCCGCAAAGGTCACCTTTCTGTCTCAACAGAGGTGAGCGTCTTTGTTTGCCGTCTTGTTATGTCTTATACCCCTTTAGGTGTTTGAAGTTGCACCATCTCTATTTATGGTGGAGTTGAGAAAAGCCTCTGGGGACACTTTGGAGTATCATAAGGTAAATTTTATTTTTTGGATTTAGAATTTTACAGGTATTCTTTGTTTGCAGTTTTACAATAATTTATCCCAAGGTATCAATGAAATCATGTGGAAGTCTAATGAAACTCACAGCAAGATGCATAAGTAAAGTGAATTAAAACAAATTGCAACTCAAGTGATTTCTTGATATACCTTAGTGCTATGTTGAGAAGCATATTACATTGAATGTAACTACTAGAGTAGCCACTCATTCTCCACATAACACTTATATGGGCTTGATAAGGTGGGGTTGCTAAGTTTTAATTTTCTTCTTTATTTTAAAAAATATTTTTGCTTTTGTTTGATATTTTAGAAATCTTGGACTTAGCCCAAAAATTTTAGTTTATATATAGGAGTGAGTGATCTAAATTGAAACTAATTTAATGATTATTAAAATTCCATTATGCTAATATTAGTATACAGCATCATAACTGTACACTTGAACCTCACACCATCCCTTCCTTTCAAAAGGATAGAATGCAGTTAAGGTTCTTTGGTTGATAGGATAAGATTTAATGGATTTGTAGGTGGTGTTAATTATTTTTAATCTCTTTGTATGAAGTGTTTTAGTTGCTGTATATGCACAAGTTTTGGAGGATTGATCTGTTGAATGTTATACTGAACCTCATAAACTTGTGGTCTAACTTGTTATAACACCTAATATAGTCCCTTCCATTGAGCAAGGAGCCCTTTAAATAAACCATGTACCATAAGATTAAGAAAATAGATTAACACTAAGTCATCTATTTTGTACTCCGTAAGTAGACGATGATAGGAGTTGTCGTATTGTTGTTGTCCCACTTATACGTTGCCCAAGTGTTTAGTAAACTCCACTCAGACAAGTGGAAGAATATTTATTAAATATTGATCCCAAGACCTAGCATCGACAGTTCGTAGTAATTATGAAAGTAAACTTAACTTTGTTGGCAGTATCATATCATGATAATATAGGAGTTTATATAGTGAAACACTAACTAAATTTAGTATCTTTATTACATATGCATACTAAAGAGATGACAAATAACCATCTTAATCGAAATGCTGAAAATTCACGTAATTTGCAATCATCTTTGAATAAGCCATTCCACCAAGCCATTTATTTATGGATGATAAACACTCGTGAAAGTGTGGCATATCCCTTAACTAAAACATTAAAATGTAAAATGCCTCAACTATAAATATGGGACCATTATCCAAAAGAATTTGCTCCAAACAAAAATATTGACATTATAATGAGAATTTCTTTGTAGCCAATCCTCCTTTTTGTTCTTTAGTTTTTGGTTTGAGGAGAAAGTATTTAATAGCACTTGCAAACACACTAACAAAAGCACAGACTTCCACCACACAAGTTAAATAGTCAAAGGCAATAATAATATATTAACTGTTAGTAGTCAACCATGGGAAATGCCCCATCAAATCAAATGCCACCAAACAAGAAATTGCAATTGACTCCAATTGTCCTTCCATAACATGAGGGGAGTATTACGAGTTTAGCACCAAACACAACTATACAACAACTAGATATTATCACATCACATCTTTGGCTAATAGAAAGACTTATACAACTTTTTAGTCATCTATTGATGTCGTATATGCCTACTTAGAATAAAAGAGTCATGATAAGTATGGAAAAAGCATGCAATAAATATCAAAGGCACCACTAACTATAAATGATCATCCCTTGTTAGCACCTTCATCAACATGTTTGCTAACTTAAGGTTGAGATGTAGATTTGAGAGAACATTTTGAAGCACTTGGAGTCTTTCCATCGAGCTGAGATACTCAACATCAGCTATAGAACTCCTCAAATGATGAACAATCGCAAAATCATATATTTGAAGCTTTAGAGCCTTATTGAATAGTATGACTAACTAAGTTCTTTTGCTTCAATAATGAAGTAATTATAGCATGATCACCTTCTAGTAATATCTAAAAACCATATAAATATGCATAAAACTTCTCAAAACCCCAAACTTTTACTAAACACTCCTCTATTCTGGAGTAATTTATCTTTGTTGGTTGTAATGTACGGTTGATGTATGCAATGAGATAACACTAACTAGGCACACTTAAGCTCTCTTACATCAATACACCTTCAAGATCGATATCAAAAGCATCCACGTGTAAAATGAAGGGTTAAATGTAATTAGGATACACCAAAATTAAAGGAGTTGTCAACAACTTTTTGAGATCTATAAATGCTTACTCATAGTCAATAGACTAGATGAAAGACAATGTTGATGACTTTAGCAATACTTATAATGGTGCAATATGAATAGAAAGATGATCAATGAAATAATTGAGATATTGCACTTTGCTTGTATTGCACATTATTCACACACTTTGGAGTAGGGAATTTTAAAACAATTATAAATTTGTTAAGATCAATTTGCAAACTTTTATGAGAAATATAATACCCAAGATAAGTTATGTTCTTGGACCCAAATATGCATTTTGACCACTTCAACTTTAAACCAACTTTCAGCAACCGATCCAACTTCTTACAAATATTACAGATGTACTCTTCTAAGTGGATCAAGATATCATCAATGAAGTTAGTAATCATCTCCGACATATCACAAAAAACCTTGACCATTATCTGTTGAAAAGTCATGGGAGCATTGTTTAAACCAAATGGCATCACCAAGAATTTGTACAAAAAAAATGGTATATGAAAAGGAGTCTTGGGAACATCTTCCTCAGCCATTGGCATTTGCCAGTACTCAAAAGCAAAATTTAACTTGGTGAACCAATGACTTCTTCCCAAATTATGCAAGAGACCAGCAATATGAAGAAAAGGGTGCATATCTGGAATAATCATTTTGTATAATGGATGATAATCAATATAGAAGTGAATACTTCTATTAAGCTTCATTATAAGATAAGATTCATACACCCAAAGACTTTGATGTGATAGACAAATCCCAGAGCCCCAAAAGTGGAGTTGAAAGGGTGCCATGTGATAATGGCCGAAGTGGAAGCTAAATAAGAGTAACATGTTTGGATTTAAAGTTCCGACTTGAAAAGTCGAGAGTGGGAGTGAAATTGTCAACGAAGTGCTTAAGGAATGAGCACGAAGTGAGCAATAAGTGAGTCTCTAGAAAATGGATACAAAAAGACCAACACATGACACGTGGAAGTGTTAAGATAAACTTAAGATGGAATCTGAGATGGACCTGAAATGGAGTTTGAGATGGAGTCTAAGATGGACCCAAGATGGAGTCCTAGATGGAGTTTGAGATAAAGTTCGAGATGGACCTGAGATGGAGTTTGAGATGGACCCAAGATGGAGTCCAAGATGGAACTGAAACCGAGACCAAGACTGAGATTGAGACTAAGATTGAGACTAAGACCAAGATCGAGACTAAGACCAAGTCCGAGTCCAATTCTGAATACTAATACAAGCTATTGGGTGAAAGCCCAAAGTGATCATCCCTTGGGGGGGGGGGGTATAGGGGGTTCCAAAAGTATAGTAGGGAGAGTGTGGGGGTTGGATTCTAGTGGAACCAATTTGGGTAGGAAAGGTCAATTTAGCCTAGGAAGGTTATACCCATGTGTTGAGTGATGATAAGAAGTACAATTTAATAGAGTTAAAATGGTATATACCATTGAATTCCATTCTTTTTTCTAATCATGACTATGTGAGTTTTGATGCGAGCCTTTTTACTGCCATCCGCCTTTGGGTGCCCTAGCCAGGTGGCTAGAACGAGGTTCCAATGAGCCACGCCAAATATCCAAATAGGTAGTGCCACCCACACTTGGACCGGGAGCATTGACTATTCAATCTCTCGGGGGAGCTAAAGCTACCTCTTGAACAGTTCACTAAGCTACCCCACTTGTCTATCTATATTCACTTTAGCTTTGGACTTCCCAGTGGTTATCTTGCTACAAAGCATAATGTTACCAAAAAAAGGCATAAAGTTCACCTTTCTAGAAAAGTACAATAACTAGGACATCCTATTTAGGGTTTAAGATGTCCCCCAAGCTTGTGAAGCATGTAAGGCAACTTAAAAATGAGGGGGGCCCTTTGACAAGCATCACTGAAGCAGCAGAAGTGTGCAAGGAGAGCTTGATGTCACTAGTAGTAGGAGATGCTGGAGACGCAGTGTTGGAAGAATGAGATCAAGTATCCCCAGGCACAGAGGTGGTGCTAGAATAGCATGCACATGGTGTGGAATCACTCAGCCGTGCTTTGGACGTATCTCTGGAGCTTGCTGTGGATGTATGAGTTTCTGGGCCCATGGATTCTAGGTATGTCCCAGCCACCCCAAGTCACTGGTCAACGATCGGTCAACCCTCGGCCTACTGTAAAAATGGAATATTCCTGAATATTCTCTGAAAGTCAGACCGTTGACCGAGTCAACTTCGCCTATACCATTCCATTCCACATCTCTTTCCGATTGGGACTACATTTATTTCATCTCCTAACACTAGACGTGACACCTTGGAAAACATGCGAATTGTTATAATGGTGCCATCGATGACACATGCAACATCGATGACAATGTGACTGAAGGACCTCAGGTATGCACCAGTCACTCCAGGCCACCTCCCTCTCGAGTCAACTATCGGTCAACGAGAAGTCAACGGTCAGAATAGAATATTCTTGAATATTCCCTAACAGTCAGATTGTTGACGGAGTCAAAGCGGCATATACCATTGGATTCCACACTTTCTTCAGGTCATCACAGTTGTGGTGAATGAAAAGCCTTGACAGGAGGACTGCCCTCAAACAGGTCTTGAGGGATGAAACAGGAATTGATACAGCCTCTGCAGTGTGTCAGACACAACCAACAGGTCCCGAGAGCGATCAGCAGTAGGAGAATCGGAACAGATGCCGAAAGACAGGTCCACTGCACCACAATCTCGTATAAGCAACACATCTTTCCGGATCTAGAGATGTCGAATAGAATCAAAAGACAGGGCTTGCTGATTCTCATCAATGAAAGAATCTCTCTAGAACCAAGAGACTGCTCTAGACCATGCCACAAAAGACTCGGTTGCCAACCTCTTGGAACTTGTAGCTGGCAATACCACATGGAAGAGGATGACAACAAGCCGATTCTGGAGCATGCAGTTGGGTACGTGGTTTCATTTCTTTACTATCTTACAATATATTTATTTTTCAGAACCAAAATCGGCTGGAAACCCAGGAAGGACCTGACTATCAAGCTGATGAAGAAGAAGCCTAAGAAGGTGCCAAGGAC